GAAGTGTTACATAAATTGAGAAATTAAACTTATATTTCACACAGCTGGAAGTTACTTTAATGTAGAACCTGTTTCATAAATATATTTTAAATCGTTGTTATTTTTCCTCCGTCGAAAAATGTCTTAAAATTAGAGAGTGTACGCAGTATCATAATGTCTATTTCCTGTTAATAGTTCGTTTTAAGGCATTTTTTTCGTACAAAAAAGATGCAAAACAGTTTTGCTTTCAATAATCATTATACTCATGGGATATTTTCCTTCAAACATTTTGAGCCTGAATCAGCAAACGACAATTTTCAAAATCAAGGTTTATTTTAATGATGCAAATTTATAGAATATTAAACATTTATTTTCATTCATAGTTTGAATATTTTGGTATTCAAACTTTCGTTTCATTACACTCTTCTTTATTGTTTAACCATGTTGGTGTGTTTGGTCATACATCATTGTACCTCTTGTAATTTTTCCATATATGCATTATGTAACAATTCGCCATTTTGACCTTTGATATTGCATGTTATAATTATCGACGCACAATTTAAATACCTAGGTATGCTTCTTTAAGTGATCATTTCTTTTAATTTTTTTTGTCTATTACTTGCATAATATTATTTCCTTTACCATCTTTGGAAAATATGCACCATTCTTTAACTTTTTGGGTCCAGCTAGGTTCCTTGCCGGTGGTCCTGTGTTGTTGGGTTTTGTGGGGGTTACGTTCATGGAACGCCGCCTTTCCTTGTAGATCTTGTTTTTCATATTAAATAATATGTTATTCGAGGCACTTCCAGCTCTTAACAACAGCTCTAATCAAGGCGTGTGTATCTCGTTTATGTTCTATCTTGTTTTGTATGTTAGATCAATACAGTGTATCGTTTCCCAAATACCCTTAATCAGCACTAGGCACTTGTTGGTCATCAATTGCAAATGGAAAGTTTGCAACACGTTCTGTTTGATTCTAACAGTAGTAAAACCATGAATTTGATGACTGCCATAATGCCCGCCGTATCAATTAACACATCTGCGGATGATTCTAAATTCAAAATTTAATCATATCCATGATTAAATGTTGAATTCTGGTGGACGGTAACTTGCACGTTCCAGTACTTCCATGAACAGGCTCAATCAAACCGAGTTGCAACATTTTCAATTTTTGACATTTTGAGCGTTCTTTGGAGACTCTTTATTTCTCTCTATTATACTTGTTTCTGAAATGGGTTACGGTAAAATGCATTGTTTCAAAACTATTTTGTCCTAGATCAATGAATAGAGGCAAAGAAATTCATAAACACATTGTTGCATCTCATGTATGTTAGTTTGATGTTAGAAGCACTCATTTTCCAGAACGATTTATACTCAAAGAAATGTGCGGAATATAATTACCTTGTATCAACGTTGCCTGAGAGCTACATTTTGTTAAACATGTTAAACAGAGATGGTTAGTACAAAGAACCAGAAGCTTGTTTTGATCAGGGCTAACTTTTCTAATGTAACAGTTATCTTGTGTTTCAAATACACCATGGGTTGTAGAAATTGATGCAATTGACGAGTGTGTGAGCTCTGGAAGAAATTCGATTTCACATCTTTTGTCAAATAGAATTAAACAGCTTCCAAAATGGCCAAAGTTTCTTATTACTCCCAGGAATATCCAATATCTAACATCTCTAAGAAAAATGAAGCTTGTGTATCTTTACTCAAATGACTCAAGAAATATAGACTACATTAAGGTTTTTATTAAAAAGTCATGTCCTAAACATCATAAACAAACTTGTTTTATATCATCCAGGCATTAAAATTGTTAACTGATAATAAAGATAATAAAACTGTCCGTGACTTACCTGCAGATTTAGGCGATATTTATGATATAAATTTTGGTAGATAGTTTGGTTATACATCTTACAGCATTCCCAAATTAATATTGGATATCATTTGTTCCGCAATAAATCCTTTTTCAAAATCAGACATTTTCATCGTTCTTAAGTCTCCAAAACTTTCATTAACAGAAGATGAATTTGACCTATGTTTTAAGTCCGGAAATTCCTTCTTCTTAAGGATAAATGTAGATTATCGCAATTCTTGCGAAGCTTTTAATTTTGGCTTATTAATAAAAAATAATGATAATTATCGAATTTCGCTTCATTCTTTCACACCTTAATATTTGTTTAGCACGATGCCTGGAAATGATAGGAAAAATATTGCTGATTTAGCGATGCATGTTGCTAACTCTGGTAATTCCATTTTAAGAAAAATGTTTCTGTCTTCAATGAAAAAGAAAAGGAAAGATTTACTAAAGGAGCCTGTTTTAAATAATATTGATTTGGAAAACCCTATGCGTTAAGGCACTAGATCTATTGATACAACAAATGCTTCAAAAGTCGGAAATGTTACACTATCATACGTTGCAGCAGCGAAAGGACACAATTTTAAGGACCAGTTAAAGCTTTTATATAGAAAAGGTGCAGATTTAAACATCCTTGTAAAATGCCTGATGCTAATAAGTTCTTAAGACATATTTAGTAAGCTAGAAATGACGAAGCTACATTACTATTCAGGATATAGCCTGTCTCTTGCATATTGCATCACAACATATTTGGACATATATATGGACATGTTTCAACTGTCAACAAACAATTCTTTGGCTTTTGTAAACAATCATTTGAGTTTGCACACAGGTCACTTTGCATGTGAGAATGGACATCTAAATGTGGTTTAGCCATTTGAAAGGCTACATTCCAAAACATTTATCGATGAATATATACATGCACTATGCTTCTAAACACAATCATAAACATATTGCAGAGTGGCTTGTGTCAAATGGTTATCGTTTGAATGCATTTCGAATAAGCGTTCCTTTGAAGCTTTATGTCAGATCAAAAATAGATGGTTTCAAATTAGAAGAAAATGACTTTGGGACATTTCCAAATGATTCTATTTCGCTTGAAAACTTCATCAATCCATTAGATATTTGGTGGTTGTTTTAAGGATAACCCACCGGGTCAAATGATGTTGCTTTATATCTTCTAGTAACTTTCATGAGAACTGGTGTTTTTCGATGCATTGTAACTAGGATATAACATTTCTATAAACAAAATTCTTAAACTAAAGAGAAGATAACTCTTGCAATTAAGGTGATAGAGTTATGAACATTGTCAAACATGATGTGAGTGGTGACAAAGAACAATTTAATTTTTTTAAGTCTAAAGTAGATACCATTTACAGTAATAAGGAAGAAAAGTGAAAAATATAACAATTTTCATAAATATACCATTTATTGTAACATAGAAGAAAAATAAAAATTGAATCTTCTCACGCATGATTTGAGTGATAATAAGGAACATATACCGGTACTTGAAGTAGATATCTCGAGAAATAGAAATTGTAGAAAACAAACAACATTTTTCATAAAAATTTAAGGATGATAATTCTGATAATATAGGCGCTATAGTAATTACTCTTGTCACTTATGGCATGGACGGTGATAAATAAGACATACTTAAAGTTTGAAGTAGATTAAGAAAATATGAACTCATTTTATTACAATTCAAGTTTTAAGGGGCTAATTCTAATATTTCTTATTACGTGTGTAAGAAGACACTTAAATAATTGTTACCTTCCATGTGGATTTAGTGCAGCTGAATTATAGAACATTTTGGCACCATTCAACGTTGAATTTGTCGCATTCTTATTATATTATCATTCTTGTGAAAATCAAAATGTAAAAAATCGCAATAATTATCCTTACTTTTCGCATATTTCTTTCGAATTGTAGCTTATTTACAGTAGCAATGACTATGATGAAAGTTCTTCAAAATAAAATGTCAAAAACGGCCATACCTCTGTCTAAATCCATAATAGAGTTACGGGCAATGATCTACTATTATGCTTTCAAATAAGATTGTGAAGTTTCAAACTATTCCCTTCGGTAGTTTTGGAGATACCAACTTGCATGCAAATACCATGAACAACCCCATCAAACCGAGTCTGCAACATTTTTTAAATTTTCTTTTCAGACCTTCATAAGGGATTCGGTTTTTCATTATTTTAACAAAAGTGTGACATAGAGAACTTCTTAAATTCTTAAATATATACATCGGATGATAACGAACCATATTGATAACAACCTAGCTATGATGAAATATGTGGCCATAATTGTTTAAGCAATGGAACAGTCTTCGGCAAATTTTGCATGCTTAATATCGCTGATTCAGAAATCGTCGGTCACCTACGGAGAAAAGGGTAATTACTGGTTAGTAATTGAGGAAGGTCAGTTAGGTGGACCGGCCCTTGAGAAATCACAGAAATTGTGTTAAAATTTGCGTTGAAACAGATAAACAGCTAAAAAAACATGTTTTTCTTAACGACATTAATATTAATTTGAAAAAGAGACGTATTTCTTTAAAAAAAAATAAAAAAAATTAAAGAACAATGTAGGTGACTTGCTGTTGTTATTTTAAAAATCGTTAAAGTGACGATGGAAATAAAGTACATGGAAATAAAGTATTGGAACATGTATTTCAGGTCCATACCCTAGGTGATCAATTTGAACACAATACTAATACTTGTATCATTATTAGACTAAAAACTGACGTATGTTAATGTAGAATTGAACAAAAAGTAGAGACGTTGAAGAAGATTCCAACTACAAGAAAAAAAGAATAAAACTATCGTCATTCTATTTACTACTTGATATTTTTATAGGGATGAAATTGACATTTCGTCCTCTACTGACGGTATAAACACTGAAAAGTATACATTTCTACTTCCAAAATTGTGATATTATCAATTAATTGTTAATAGTCGAATGCGATTTGTTCTGACTGCCAGTCATCTTTAACGTTTTAAAACTGTTTTTTTTTTCCTTACTTTCTCGGTCAATATTCGAAATAAATTATGTCTTAAATCAGGTTGCATTGTGTTTACATAAAATGTCACATGGCGTTGTTTATAGATAAGTTTTAGATAAGAGTAGATCCGAATGCATTACGGACTTTGTACATTTGATATTTCTTACTTGGTTTTTGGAAAACAATGGACGCGGAACTAAGGACGGATAGTGAACACCAAAACTTTGTTTCCATTTATCGAGGTTTTGCATATGTTGGTGAACAATTGGAGGGTTATACAAAAGAAGGACTAGACAGAACGTATCAAAACATTTATAAAACATTAGCGGGTAATCCTCCGTGCAAAAGAGAGTGCAGTAGAATTCATAAATGTCAGTTTACAAAGTAAGTAAAGTTTATTATTCTTCCAACTTCACGTTTGTTTAAATACATTTTTTTTAATTCTTATATATAAATTTATATCGGAGATGCGGCGGTTGGGGAACATTGTGCAGTTCTATTTAAGAAATTGTAATGTACCATGTCCCCTTTTTCTCGTATCAACATTAGCTATAAACCTTTCGAAAATAGCTATGTTGTACATTTAAGATAGTGATAACGATTTCTATGGTAGACAATATTGACATAAGATTAACCTAAGTTCTCGTTTGTATCGTTTTATCTCTTTTTTCTTACCTTTTTCATAAATATTGAAAAAAGTAAGCTGTGTAAATGAACTTACAAATCTATTATCGGGCCAGATTTGTGCTCTGCGTTTATGGATTGAGTGACTTATAAGTCAGTAAATGTGGTCATAACAAGTTAATATTCAAAATAAGAAATATATATTTAATCTTGATGTTTACCCTTTTGATGAATATTTAAATAAAATTCATTAAAAGAGTAAATTATGTTCTTTGCAACCATGGATAAGTCACCATATCTAATTCACAAACGTTCTTGGCGGAGTATCTGTGTGTCTAGTAGAGTTTTAGTTTACCAGAAAATTCTAAAACTATTGAAAATAATATTGCAAGAGAAGACAACAATGGAGATAATATCAGTTGAATCTGGATTGCCCATGTTTTTGTTTTGATTTTCATTTCTCTCGACGGAACTCCCCTTCCCAGACTTTCATACTCACCACAGGAAGACGACATTCTTAATCTCTCTGTTGTAATAGTTTAAACTGGTCGTGCAAGATCAATGATAGCAATTATTCTACTTTTTTGTTTAAAAATATTGGAGCCAATACTACCTAAGTTAGGGGAAGAGCGAAATGTTGTATCTTTCTTTATTCCTTATTGATATACTCACTCAGTTAACACATTATAATTTCGGTATATTCATTGCTATTAAGAACTCCCTTTTCAATATTTCATCTAAATTTCATCTGTTGTAAAGCGAAAGTCAGCGTTTAAACACAAAAACAATGTATACAGAATTAAATGATTTAAGAAAAAGTGTAAGCCGATAAAATATGTAATGTGAGTCATAGAAACAAGCAAATTTGATGTTACAATATTTGTCATTAAAACAGTTTGTGTTAGCACATGACCGCCTCCGTGACCGGTGGGTTAGAGTCGATGACTTCTAATCGAGTTACCTCTGTGGCAAGGGTTCGATCCCCGGGAGATGCTTTGGTAGTTTAGCACGGAGGAAGGCAGACTAGTACTGGTGTAACTCTCCAGGAACGATGGTTAGGTAACTACCCGCCTATAAGACTGAAATACTGTTGGGAAAAGGCGTAAAATCAAACAAACCATGGAATTGTGATGAAGTTGTAGAAGTTGTTTCAACGAGAATGTGTATATTTATGATTTTTGAAACAATCCCATATGTCAACGTTTTAAAGACATTTCAGCATGACATTATTGTTGAATTTCGTTCTCTCCAATTGTTTTGTTGTTTATCTTTTAGCTGGGTGGTTCATTATTCCTCTCTTGAATACTGCTTAATCAGCCATACGATATTTTCCTGCTTTTCAAATAAGTCTGTGCTCAGCTTATCCGTGATATACAGGCATAACCTTTGAACAAATTTAACTTTATCAGTTTTTCGTTGCGGGCATAGCATATTAGCTTGACTTTTCTCGGAGTAAAAAAATAGAGGTATCGTTACATTCGTGGCGGCGTTCCCGTCCGCAAACATTAACCTTGATCTTCATACTTGGTCACCATAACCTTTTGGACAAGACCTTTAAGTATACTAGACAAAACATTACCTTTGTTCATAACTGACCTTGAGCTTTAAGTTCAAATGTCTAAATTTTACTTGATTTTTGCTGAATATTTGCTATTCATGGTTATTACTTTGTTATTTATCAAATAGATTGTCTTCAAACTGCAACACAAAAATATTTTGGATAGACTTTCAAGTTGACTAGGCAGACCTTAACCCACACACATAAATGTATATCAAACTCATATTAACCTCTGCTGATTTATTACCCTGGCCTTTTGAAGGTTAAATTATTGAATTTTCAATGCTTTCTGCAATAATTGACCGTATATTGGTCGTTAATTGATTATCTTCATTCTTGGACAAAACAACCTTTTGACCTTTCTAAAAGGTTTACCTGGCATTGACCTTGAGTTTTGAATGACCTTGACCGTCAAGGTCAAATTTCTGAATTTTGGTTAAATTGTCATTATTTTATTGTATGTATTAATTTATGTACGGATTTGATTTATACTTAGACAAATTTGTGGCCGAACAAACATATTGAATAATTGAGATGTGACTCTGATCTTTAATTTTTGACCATCAAGGTTAAATTAATATTTTTCTCAAATAGCTTTGGCATTTGAATCATCTGCAGTTTAAAATTTGAAATCCAACTTTGTTAACAGCTGACCTAGATTTTGATGCAGTGATCTACTTTTGAACTTTGATATCACCTGGCCTAGATAATTTGACGAAGTGACCTACTTTCTTGTCCTTCGGACATTTGGACCATGTGCAAGTTTAGGATATAAAATTGAACATCTACTTCATTAACCTTTGGTGAACAGGTATGTAATTTGGACCTGGTTCACAGCTTCATATGTAAAATATTACTTTGAATTGTTTATTATTCAGATGGTGCAAAACGTGCAATGGTTGGCGAAATCAACTGCTTAAAACAAGAAAATCACATCATGTTTCTTGGGAAGTTTCTCATTCTTGGAAATGGCCAAACGGATACACAGACATTGTTGAGATCTATATTCCAGCTGGATGGCAGAGTGACCAAAATGATGCCCTTGATATCAAAGATATATCTACTGCATGTTATATCTGGGAAAATTGTTCTAAACAGTTTCAAGTAAAACCGTTCATTATCAAGAAAATACGGCAATTCAGAAATCAATATTTTGCCCATAACACTTCTCTGAAAGCATCTGATTTAGAGAAAACACGAGTATTTGATGTTTTGAAGGACCTATTGAATGAGACCGAGGTACAAAGTCATATTGACGTTCAAGATTGCCTCCACCATCTTTCAACTATTGAACAGGGATACCACATGGAAAATTTTATGGTTGCATTTCAAAATCTTGTCAAGCATCATAATATTCAATATTGTACTCAAGGAGACAACTTAATAAAAGGGCAAGAATATTTACGAACAAATGTTGAAAATATTCAGAAAGATATAAGAATATTCAGAAGAGATATGAATAAGTTATTTCAAATAAACGAAACCATTTTCTCAAAATGGTTTTCATGGACGAAAAGGTTTGTCTCAAGTAACAAAATACACATTACTTTATTTATTGTGGTTTTGCTATCAATAGTCGCATTATGCGGTTTGATATTGCTCTCCAAACGTTATGAAGCCGAAACCGAAAAAGAGGAACGTCATGATGAAGGTATGTTTTTGTTGTTATTTTGGTTACGATTTGTATAATGTATCTTATATGATTAGGCCTGTTTTATTTTCCTTGTCTGTGTCATATTTTACAGTATATTTGTTATATGGGCCAGTGTTATTAAATTTCTTAAGTCATGTCGGTGTAAATTAAGATGGAATAACAACATTCTTCTTTAAATATAATGGAGAAATCACATGCTTTCATGGAAAAGACACTTATAATTTGTTTAAAGGGGAAAACAAACTTCCAAACTGTGTTGATTATAAATTATATTTCCTATTCTTAAAGATCGTTCAGCACGACATTATGGTTGTGTTTACGGTAGTTTAAGTTTTAACTATTTGGCATTTTTAGTTGGGTTGTTCCGATATTCCTACTTAAATAATGTTGAATCACCCTTAGAATAAATTGCCTGCTTTTTAACTTGGCCTTCTGACGTCTTATCTGTGATATGCAGGCTTCATTATCTCTATCCCCTTTCAAAATTCCATTTTGTTTAGTTCCGCCCATTGTTTCTTGTTAAATGCACATGCTTTTTATTACTTGGGAACTACACGCCGCTTTTCATGGAATGGCACTACTGTGTCACATTGAATTTTCCATAATAACGGCCGTATGAACACATCTGCGGATGTTTCTGAATACAAAATTTCACCATTTCATGTTGAATTCTGCTTGAGACGGTGCTAGATGGCGTGGACCTGAACATGCTAAATCAAACCGAGTCTGCAACATTTTCAATTTTGCCGTGTAGGGCTTCCTTTAGGAATTCTAATTTTCTCTATTTCACAATTTTGTCAGATTTTATTAAAGTTTTAGGTAAGCCTCAGTACTTTCCGTAATATTTTATTGCTATATAACGTTGGTCATAACAATATAAATATATATCAATTCTTTCTGCGGTGAAGATACATGAACAAAGAAAGAAATAATATATCAACAAAAGGGGAGACCCGTTTCAGAACGAACATATATAACCCGAGAAATTTATTTTAAAGAGGATTTAAATATTATAAATCTTGAGACATCCCTTTAATACTCTCCAATTTATTAAGTAGTTGTCCATTATATTATTTTTTGGAATATATGCATTATGCGTTATTGGGCCTTACAAGTTATGTTATCTAGCTAACTCTAGTTTACTGTAAAGAGTTGTGTTCTATTTTGTTTTGCAGCATGCATTTCTGAACAATACAGTGTACCGTATTCTCAAGATCTTCCACTGCTTGGGTATTTGAAAGAGCACAAGTCACTTGTTGGTCGTCAATGGCTAATGGAAAAATTGCAGAACGATTTGTTTCGATTGAATAGCAGTAAAAACCATGGTATTGTACTTGTTGCTGAAATGGGTTATGGTAAATCTGCATTTGTTTCAAAATTATTATGTCCGGGGTCGATTAATATAGCCAGAGATATTCATAAGCACATTGTTGCATTTCATGTTTGCAAGTTTGACGTGAGAAGCACCCATCTACCAGAGCGATTTATACGCAGACTTGTTGGATTCTTCTCAAAAAAGAGTGCAGAATACGGAAACATAGTATCAATGTTACCCGAGAGTCACATTTTGTTTAACAGAGATAGTTGTAACAAAGAACCCGAAGCGTGCTTTGATCAAGGCGTAACTATACCACTGAAACAGTTATCTAGTGTTTCAGATACACCGTGGATTGTAGTTGTAGATGCAATAGATGAGTGTGAGAGTTCAGATAGTAATACTATTTTAGACCTTTTGTCAAATAGAATTTACCAGCTTCCGAAATGGCTAAAGTTTCTTATTACCTCCAGGAATGTTACGCATTCAACATTGCTAAGAAAAATGAAGCTTGAATACCTTAACTCATCTGACTCAAAAAATATAGAGGACATAAAGTTTTTTATTCAAAAATCATTTCCTAAAAACACTAACGAAGACGTTATAAACAAAGTTGTTCTGGAAAGTGAAGGAAACTTCGTTTATATAATCCAGGCTCTAAAGTGGATTATCGATAACAACGACAATGGAACTATCCCTGTCTTTCCTGAAGATCTAGGCGATATTTATGACATAAACTTCAGCAGACAATTTGGCAGTTCATCTTATAAGATCCCTAAATCAATATTGGAAATCATTTGTTCAACGATGAATCCTGTTTCAAAATCAGAAATATTCGCTATTCTTAAATCTTCAAACAAAACATTAACAGCGATTGATTTTGATCAATATTTTAACTCCTTAAGCTTCTTTCTAAGAATAGATCAAGATGTTCGCATATCTCATCAGGCTTTATATTTTTGGCTCACTGATAAGCAAAATGAAAATTATCAAATCTCTCTTTCGTATGGTCACACTTTGATATCTAATTATTTATTCAGCAGGATGTCTGGATATGATTGTAAATATATTGTTAATCTAGCGATTCATGTTGCAAACTCTGGAAATTCAGCTTTAGAAAAAACATTTCTCACGTCAACATTTTTAGATTGTAACGGATTACTAAAGAAGCCTGTATTACATAAATTAATTTGGAAAACGCCGAGTGTTCAGGCACTTGCGTTATTGATACATCATTTCCAAGACGTAAATGGTTTAAATGAAGGAAATGTTACACCATCATTTGTAGCAGCAGCCAAAGGACATACCGACCAGTTAAAACTTTTATATAGAAAAGGTGCTGATTTTAACTTTATTGTTAAACGTCACATGATAATAGGTTCGCATGACATATTCAATAAGCTTGAAATGATGAAGCTGTATTATTATTCAGGATACAGTTTATTGCATATTGCATCGCAACATGGTCATATTTCAACTATAAAATATATTTTGGCAAAAAGCCATTCTTTGATTTACGTCAAAAATTCAATGGGTTTGAATGCTGGCCATGTTGCATGTGAGAATGGCCATTTAAATGTTGTCCGACTCTTGAAGAGCCTTCATTCTAAAAGCTTTTTCTATGAGTGTATGTACTACGCTTCTAAACGAAATCATAAACATATTGCAGAATGGCTTGTATCGAATGGATTTGTTTTTGAATGCATTTCCGACAAGCGCTCCTTTGAAGCTTTACAAAATGTAACACGTTTTAAAAAGTCACACTTAATTGAAAACGGTGTTGCTGTATTTCCAAATGATACTGTTAATTTACATCTTATTGTACCATTAGACAGTTGGTGGATTGTTTTTAAACAAAATCCACTTATGACTGCAATCGAAACAGGTTCAATGGATGTTGCTAAATATCTCCTTGAAACTTTTTATGAAACACGTAAATGTCATGACGCATTTGGTTTTACTGCAGCGCTTGCAAGTGTACGCTTCAATCGTACTGAACTGTATCACCTATTAACCAAAGAGTTAGTTTCTGACAAATGTGGAAGATTTCCAAAATATCTAAATACTGTTGAAGGTATGTTAATCACTAAACTGCCAAATAAATGTCCTGAAAGTGGAACAGTATCTCATGTCATAGCATTATACGTGCAAAGTAAACATATTTATTTATATATAATCCAGAATAAACTTCATGTGAATTGGAATCATGCAGATAAATTTGGAAATTTTCCGATCCATTACGCTGCTTCAAATCAAAATATCTTATTCATTGACTTGTTTGTAGAAGGTTTTATCTCGTCACAAAATGGCACTTCTTTGTCACTGACAGATACATTGGCCTTAAATGGCTCAACTGCGTATCACATAGCTGCAATATCTGGTCAATATATAAGTATGTCATTTCTAACAGACTCATTTGAGAAACCAATTCCAGATATAAAAGACGACTTTGGACGTAGTATTTCACATTACGTAGTATTAAGACAGTTCGATGGTTTTGTCGGCAATCAAGAAATGGAATATCACGTACAATCATTGTATATTCTTCGCTACTTGCTTGAGACATCATCTCATTCCATTACAGCACGTGATGATTCCGGTAGAAACATCTTGCACTATTGTCTTAGAAACGGCCATGCTCGTATAGTGGTATACTTGCAAGAACAGCAGAGTGAAAGCTTTTCCCTAATGCTATCACAAGATGATTATGACGGAAATAATCCGTTTGATGTTGCTGTAAAGGAGCACAACAAAACGCTCCCATTGATTTTTCCCGATAAAGATTTATTTTACGACATATATTTTACTTTTGCTAATATAAAATATGAAGATTATCCCAAGATAATGTCATCATGGGAGCTTACAATGCTGTTTATGATACAAATATTCTCTGCTGAAGATTACCGTGTTTTCATTAAGCCGAAATTAAAATATATAATGGAAAAAAGTATATACATTTTCAATGCTGTTTTGGTTTATCATAAAAACGTAAACGTAAAAAAGTTGCAAAGTTTTTTAATTGAAAGTAATATTAATCCTCTTACAGTTTTTATGCACGTTGTTGTTGCCCGCCATAAACCGCTTTCATTCATTTCATGTAATAAACCATTATTAATTTCCCCTTTACATTATCATTTACTAAATCACCATCATAAAGATTCTATTTTTCGTTTACCATATTTTTACATAAGTTATTTCCTTTACAACATTTTCACAAAAAATAAAAAAATATATGCTTTTCACTGCCCTGATGAAAACGGTTTTAACATATTTCATTATTCTTTAATCGGTGGTAACGTTCAGTCAGCCAGAATTCTAATGCGAGAAAACATTTCCATAACAAACAGTCACATTAATTTAAAAGACGTATTCTTAATGGCAATGTTATCTCGTTTAAAAAGTGACCAACGTAATTACATCGAATGTGATGACTATCCGCCCAGTCAAACACAAGCAAAATGTACTGATAAATTCCTCGTGGAAGTTTTGCAGGAGAAAAGTAAATTACTGAATTATAAATTTTTCTGTAATGAAAAATCCAGGGAATTGTCTCTTGTTCATTTATTGGCAGTAAATGGACTGGCTAAAACACTAGAAACTATTGCAAAAATGGTCGGGAAGAAAATATTGAGTTGTCAACATGAAAATGAGTTTACACCATTGTATTTTGCAAAACTTTTTCGCCAAGATTCCGTTGTTTCTTTGATTGGTGAGCATTACGGTTTTACACATCCAATAGTCCAGGCAGAGGAATGGTTTATTTGGTCAATGCTGAATAAATTCCCACAACTTAAGGTTTTTGAACCATTATTTCGTGTTTCAAATTCGTTGTCCCTTTCGCCATATTATTCTGGACATTTGCTAAAAGAGTCAATTTTGGTTTCCAAAGTTTTTAAAAATTCATTTTCAATAGGTGTCATTGATTTTACTCATAGTTGTGATATGGTATTAGGCTATCATTTATCGTCAGAAATACCGAATATTTTATCTAAGATACATCTTTTGGAATCATTATACTTTAACAAGGGATCAGTTTCTTGTAATTCACGAAAAGCTTCACTGATACAGCACAACAAAATGTTCCAAACAACCATAAAACCTATCTTATCTTTGGAAGATATAGAACATGGATGTCACGTTTTTAAGAAGCTGTTGCAACCATTTCTTGCCAAATTCTATCAAGTTAGTAAATTATTTAAACAGATGAAAACTACAAAAATCCATCATTGTAAAAGAAAATCAAGTTTTAGTTTGGACGATGTAAGAAACTATCAACTGTTAGTGTTAGCAAGAAAGTTATGCCTCAAGCTGCATAAACTGTATAAAAGTACAGCTATTTCGTTTTTGATACAGCATGGAAAATCATTTAAATTTCGAGTGCCAAATTCAAACACATTTCTCTATAGTAGAATGATAGCACTTGAATTCAATGTTAACGAAAAATTTAGTCTTTTATCAAAACTTCATCCACTTGTCTCTATAAATGACACTTCAGTATTTAAATATAAATATTTGAACATTATAAAGTCAACAATAGCTTATAAACATTTTAAGAATAAATTAGTAATTGATACATTTGGTATGAAAAGTTTTACTAACCAACCTGAAACGGAAGAACATATCACCAGGAGCTTTATTGTAAAAGAACCTTTTAAAGATTTACATTAGTTAAAAGATTATAAAAATTACCTATAACAGTTTCTTAAAAAAATTACAGAATTTGTTAAACTTGTTTTATAGTATTCATGTAAATATTAATTTTCAATGATATGTACCAACCCTCTTTCAGAAGAATATTCTTGTAAATAACTAATTGTATTTTATTTCATTTATCTCATCATTTTCAGGTATCATCATAATTTATTTTCGATGGCAAATTTTATTTGTTGATATATTTAATGACATATTGTCTAGGTCGGCCTCTGCTTATGTAATGTCCTGACGACATACTTTTTTTAAGATTATTAAGCTTACATTATTGATTATTTGTCAATTTAATCGCATTCACCTGTATATACATTAAGATATTCTATCTTTAGCTATCGATATAAGATAAGCAAGTAATGTTAACTTGGGAAAATGCCGATGTTGTGTAATTTCTAAATAAAAAGTGCTCAATTCAAATGCCTTTATCTTTCCTTCAAACAGTAACAAATGTGAAAGTGTTCTTTTTTAAGATTTATATTTAGAATTACATAGATAGATTTGTATATTATGGAGTCTATTTTTCTAAGTCATCATTTTACTGTTTTGAATGTACCTACTTATTTTGATGAAAGAATGTATTGCAGAGAAATATAATAAATGTAGGAAAAACGATATAATCTAACATTGTTTTATGTTGAATAAAATACCAATTATGCAGATTTGAAGATTTATCTGTCAATTTAATGGACCAGTAATCTTTAGTAACGTCAAGCACGCTGAAATATTTTGCGTCAGTTAATTTGGCAGCTAATACGGTCTTTGAATTTTGTCATTGAGTGCTTTCAATCTGGGCATACTCGTATTCTTTTTTATGCGTTTTTTTTCTACAATTACCAGAATATTTACCCATTCAGTCTGTTCCGTAAACTTCTTAATAATTCCATTTTATACGTCCAAAAGAATGTAATGAACGAATCTCCTTGAAATTCGTTGAAGAATTCATGATTGCGAAAATTGGGATGTAGTTAAGGTCTAACATGCGCCCTGAACTGATCAAAAATTATGCAAAGGTTCACTTTCTCGGACATGTCTGACCATTTTGAGTATATTTTCTGATCTCAAACCCATAGCAATATATATGATATTTGTTCCTGTTCCGACTTTCCTTTTAATGGACCTGTAAACATCAATTTTGCAGGTCTTTCAAATTTCTCAAAAGTTTCTGGCAGGTAAGATGACTGCCAATTAATCCTTTAATGGTGGTGAAATTCTCGTTAATTCCATTTTAAAGTTGAAGACAATGTTAATTTCTAATGTTTTCTTACAATGTTCTCATAATATTCCAATACAATAAAATCAATTTTAGATTTCTTCTGACACCATGTTTTGTTGTTGGGAGTTATAATAATCAAGTTCATTTCACAACATAGTGATATAACACGAGCACGTGTGTAAATTTATTCTGTCTTAAATTAAATGAATAGTGATCAGGACGGCCACGTAACACCAATAGATGCGGTTCTTTGGAGTGTATGGACAATTCAGGAGAAATTACTGGCCTAGTTCACTTCGGTTTTACTTTAAAAGTCCTTGTTTAGTTTAACCGTTGTCGGTATCGTCTATAATTCCGGCAAAAACGTCTTATCCTTGACTCAGGCGTTAAGAATAGATATGTCTGGGAAAAAACATTTTATTTTCGCTGAAATTACCATTTTTAGAACAATTTTCGGCTCAACGTCAGCAAATGCCACAAACTTCTCAACGGATACACCTATACAAGCGGACAAATTCAGATTCCCTGACCATCCCACCATATGAGGTCTGTGCAATCGAGCATGGGTCTGATAGAGACCAGCCTAAACTTCCCAGATTTGAATTGAAAAAAGGTCATTTCACAGTTCGAGTTTCGGCACAACGTCGACAAAATACCAGAAAAATCCAAGGACACATCTATTACCGGGGACACACTCTCAGACATCCGTGAAATGGAGGCTGGTGCTCGCAGGGGTCATCCGGAACTGGCGAGATATAAGCTGAAATGATCATTTATAGTATGATTTTCGGTTCAACGTCGGCAAAATACCCGAGTATTCCTGACATGAATCAAAATGTTCGCAAAAGGTGTTTTTGGGCATGGAAACATGGTGTCGAAACTTTACCAGCCAGTGATTAAAGTTTGGCACTTATAACCCGACACTTACATTTTTCGGTATAAATTGGTTGTTCAAGGACGGATTTTGGTTATATTTGAAACATACAGTATTCAACATCTCATACTTACTATTTAGAATTTTATTTATAATTCATTGACAATAAAATAGAAAAATAAACAAAACAAATAGGCTACTCTAAAATAAAAAATCACAGAATGGCTGTAAAAATTGTAACAAAATGAACAGATTGACGATATTTTTGTGCATTAACTAAAAGTATCACATTTCTATATAAAGTATCGAAATGTGCGTTTCAAACATTACGCCAGAGTAGGAATCGCTCCGCCCACTGATTCACGTGACCCGGTCAGTAAGAACCTTAGACAAAATACGGTACCCAAAACTGTGATGGCACTAATTTTACCAATGAATTTATCTTATATGAATTTTGTATATATAAAATTTTGATGCTTTTAATGGTTTTATTGAATAGTAGATCTATTACTCAGTGTATAACTGTAGTATGGTATTTTAAAAAAAGTAAAATAAAGTATCTGCATTCACTTATTAATGACGCATGAAGCGTTTTACAAAGATCGTCTTATTTCTTGTTTACTTCAATGAAAATTATATAATGTATAATAATGTCTTTAAAATTCAAAGAGGGACTATATGTAGAAAAGTATATGATTATGCTATGATCGTTTCATTTTGAAATTGAAGTAGCGAAACAAAAACAGTAGAATTATATTAGTGACACAAATAAAATTCAAAATCATTTTCGGTTTTTATGTGCGAAATTCAGTTTAGATAATTAATTAATTTGTTCATGAATTGTTAAAATTGATTCAGAATAATGCATGCCCTTCTTATCTTTTTATGGTATGTGATAATGTATTGTTAAAATACATTTGATATGATTCACGACAAAGCACATCGTTATTCTCTTTAAAATTTAGCTTCACATACATAAGACATGATGCTATTGGTATTAGTTTCGTATTAAGTAGATCAATTTAAATGTTTGATATTAATTTTTTGAACTTTAATAGAAATATTCAGGTAAAATAATTTCACCCATTCTTTTACTGTATTAACTCATTATATTTGCATTTTATGGCTACGTTTTTATCGACGCTATACATTATAAACAAAAAAATGTCATATCTTCTGGATATTCTGGGACCTTATACTGTGATTATGAATAGATAGAATGGAAATAAAAAAGTGGATTTGTTTAAACCCTTTCCTTTTTTCAATGCATTGTGTTATAGCCAGAAAAATGTTTCGTACTAATTATTTCCATATGTAGGAAATTATTGACTTTTTGTATGATAAACTAACTTACTCGATCTGTCAATATGTCAGTTTACTTAATAATTATATAGATAAAAAACTTTAAATTGACAGAAACTTTAAATAATTTCAATCTAAAATACTTCTGTACCATTGTCTTAGACAAGTAGCTTGTCTAAGGAAAATGGTGGACTTCGCAGGCATCTCAGCGTGGAACTGATAACGATCGCTGATTGGCTTATCTCTGTGACCCCTGCCAGTTTGATTGACAGGCGGCGTAATGTCAATTGCATTGCTCTGTTCACATGTCTATTTTTTCCATCCCATCCCTCCCACTCCGTACACTGGTATCAGTTTTTTTGTTTAATACAAAAAGCTCATTTTGATGGAACTATATTTTTTTTATATTTGACAGTTACGTTATGCTTTCATTCAAGACGTATGGAGTGAGAAGAAGCAAAGTTCATTTTATGTTCGAATTTATTCCAGTATTTTTCGATAGAATAAAACCAATGCAATTGGCCAAATGTAATTATGTCTCGGTGTTTATTATGCTTAATAGGTTTCAAAGAGAAAAATAATAAGTTAGTTTTGTTTGAACAAGCTCTGTACCATGTGGTTTGGGAGAAGATGCCTTTAAAATATTTAGCAAAAGCAAAACAATTTGTACAACTTTGGCACAGCTGCATGCAATTCAAGGGAGCAGATCCAGGATTTTTTACCAGACAGGATCCAACAATTCTGATAAGGTGTAATGCATTTTGAAAAGAGGTTGACATTGTTCTAGTTTTCCAGAGGAGGCCAGGAGTCAAAATTCTGATATCCTAAACGCCCGCCCCATCTCCGGATCGGAGCATGAAAGGAGCGTTATAAACAAGTTTTGTTCAATTCAGCCCAGTGGTGTTGTGAGAGAAGTTGAAGGAAGATAAAGGAAACAACTCGTATTTTTCACTTGATACACCTCGGCTATTTACGTAGTTCATATAGACTGTCAATGGGTGTATGTAAAGTAGACAAGCAACAGACATGGGGTAATATAAAAATTGCTATAAACCATACAGTATAGAGACACTCAAATATAGACAAAAAAAGCTAAAGTGACTTTTTATTTATCTTTTTTTTATTCCATGTTGAACAAAGGAGTATTTATCCAAGGCTGGTACAACAACATAAAATCTAATATATTTATTTTTTATAAAAGTAAAGTAGGCAATTGTACACACAAAAAACTAATAAGTAATAGTTTGGGGAAAAGGCTTTTGCCATTTATGTAAGATTCAAGATAGTATGTATATTGCCTTAATGTGTCATGCATAAAACTTAAGAATGTGACAATAATTTATATAATTCTTGAGTTGCCTTTTTTCAGTAACTATTTATTTTTAATGCTAATTTATTTATTCATCTCTCATTAAAGTAAGTATTGTTCAAATAATAAAATCTTATTTGTGTCATTATCAGAGTAATCATTGTTCTAAAAACAGTATTTTATTAACAAACAAGATTAAAGATCTATTAATGGGAAATGAGAAGTTATAAAACTTTTGATCAATGAAAAAAAACATACAATAAAAATAAGGTTCTTTTATATTATTTCGATCAATTCTGAAGTGAGTTTGAAATAAAAAGAATAGGGCAAAGACCACCCAATATGGCATCAACAAATATCAAAGCTCTGGGCATTGTAATTTCAAACAAGAATATATAAACATGTCTTCTTATACACTATATATGTGAACAAAGTGACCCAAGGACAGGGCAAATTTTGATACCTGGTTCACACAACCAGTAAAATATATATGCTCTTGGCATTTTAGTTTCTGTAGTGATAATTTTTAAAGATCCCACTTTTAACACAAAAACTTTTAGCTTTTGAGAATAAACATTTATATTATTAGTTATAAAGATTGTTGACACGTTACATGGCCCTATATAAACGGCTATTTGTAAATATAACCCGAGCCGCCAGGCGAGGGTTATATTGCAAACAGCCGTTTATATACGGCCATATAACCTGTCAACAATCTTTATTACGAATTTATAATACAGCAAGTATCATTTTTTTAAAGAAAAAAGTAAGATTTCTTCATGAGTCGACAGCAGCCGTGTATATAAAACTATATAAACGTCACGATTACCAATGAAAAGTGACGTTACAAACGTGCAGTATTATTAAACGATTGTAGAGGGTCACTGAAAAATTATTGCTAAGAAATTTGGCCATAATCTACAATATGATTTAGGAAGAGATGGTGTTTAATGTGTGTGGATTAATATGTAAAACATGTAATTACTTTGTGCTGAGGAGAGCTAAAAATAACATACAAATAGAATATTTAAACACAGGTTGATCATTATATGCTACAGATGTTCTTAATAAAGATGAAAAGAGATTTATACTAAAGCACTAAACATTTTCAAAATCAACAATATTTCCATGTATTACAACTATAAACAAAATCATATAAGTCTTCAAGCAATACTGTACATGTGCAACTCTTTGAATAAGTTAGTTGTCTATACAATTAGTTTACAGCCCCTTCTATCTGCAGTTTAATCCAAACCAACCCCTAACTAGACAATACACAACTGGCTGTACAGTTTTAGTATTGAAAAATTAGATTCCCTTGAACTGTTGAAGCCCCAAATTTAAAGCAGAAGAAACTCTTTACATAGAAATAAAAGGGTACAACTTAAAAAAAGTCTAAAAGTTGCTATTAACAATGCAAAAAAATAAATAAGCATAATATTTGCCAGCCTTATATTAATATTTATATATTGTACTTATACATAAAAGATTTTCTTTTTATTATGTTATATTACCTAGAGCAAATCTAGCAACATGCTTTTGTGACAAGTTTCCATAATAATCAAAACATGGCATACTTTCATTCTATTTCTTCAAATCAAGTAAAAATTGAAAACAATACATGGCATTATATGTAGCACATAAAATAATATCATCATATAATACACTCAATGCTTATAGCAGCACGCCTCCCGATTCATCTTAATTTTCATGAAAATTTTGAAAATGTATTTAAAGGTAAAATATTGTGAAATGAACAAAAAAAGTACTTGACACATTACAATCAGCACTTAAAATCCACATAAATTACCAAAAAGAGGTCAAAATATGCATAAATAGCCCCTACTGCGTTAGTAACGCAGTAGAAATATGGTGATAAATACTGCAAAATACAGTCATTAATTGCACATATGATATAAATTATCACTAGAATCTTTCATTTGTTTACTTTTCTTAAAGATTTAGTATGGTTTTTCGAAGTTTAATTTTCTTGAAATATTTTGGGTCATCTGGAGGCATGCAGCTTTAATAAGGAACCGATATATCAAACTAAAAGTGTATAAAGCAATATTTTAACAAAATTATTGTTTAAAGTTTGATAAGAAATAATTTCAAAATATCTGTAAGAAAGAAATATGTTTATATATTTCCTTAAGAGCAAATGACATATTAAAATCCTACTTAAAATAGTAAACATAATATATTATTCCACTACATTTTTTTCTATTTTAGTACATAATTTGTGCATACACAATAACAGTGATATTTGAGCCGCGCCATGACAAAACCAACATGTGTTTGCGACCAGCATGGATCCAGACCAGCCTGCCCATCCGTGCAGTCTAATCAGGATCCATGCTGTTCGCTATCAGTTTCTCTACTTGTTATAGGGTTTGTAAGCGAACAGCATGGATCCTGATCAGACTGTGCGGATGCACAGGCTGGTCTAGATCATGCTGGTCGCAAACCCATTATGTTGGTTTGTCATGACAGGGCTCATTTATGTTAACAAGTGTTTCCAGAATCTACCATAAGATTAGGAAAACAACATGAATTTTCCATTTTATGAACTTTATAAAGATATTTTAATAGATATAACTTAATACCCTGTAAATTAACTTATATAAGACTTCAAATAATTTCATTATTGTGGCGTTGCTCTGTAAACAACTCACAACCTTTACACATGAAACCACATATAATGACCAGTCTGACCAGGATCCATGCTGTTCGCTATCAGTTACTCTACTTGTGGATGCTGGTCTGGATCCATGCTGGTCGCAAACCCACTATGTTAGTTTTGTCGTGACGCGGCTCATACTAGTATATCACTGCATAAATTCTTTTGATCCATGATTTATAATACATGTATAAGAAAATTCAGCAGAAGTCAACACTCCAAATTTCAATTACTGAACAGTATATGTATCTGTATAAATTTCAAACAAGCTTTGCTGCTGGTCTTTCTAACTTTGTCTTCAGCCTATTTCTCTTTCTCTTTTCTCTTTGAGCTTTTTTAAACTGGAAAATAAAATCAATTTAGTATTTATAACATTTTAAAATCAAACTTTTTCACAGTACATGTATATCTTGCTCTCACTGGATCATATCTTAATCTAAACAACATTTACAAACTATTTTATGTAAAGTAAAGAAATCAAGCACAGAGAAATGAAGATTTTGTTTAATCAAACAATTGAAACATATTTATGTGTTAGAACAGTTGAAATGAAAGCTTAAAGTTCACTTCGTAAACTTTCAGGACCCCTTCTAGAAACTAACCAGTACTGGTGCCAGATGAGGAGGCCTAGCTGTGACTGATTTATTAACTTGTTGGATCATAAGTCTCACTAACACTGTAAAGGTCATATAGTAAGTTTCTATCTTTATTGATCGAGGAAGTCCAAGGAAACATTTGTGCATTTTTCTTTCAGGTTTGAGAGGGCACCAGAGTAGAACCACTGACCTTCAGTATACTAGCTTCACATGACAAAATCCTTGATGGGATTCATACCCACTGGTGTGAAGGATAAGTGATTTGAAGTTAGCAAACTAAACCACTCACCCACTGAGGCCCTAGTTGTTGTGTAAGTAGGCCTTGGAACATGTTCTAAAGGAATATAATCAGGGTCAGTATCAAATGATCCTTATTTTATTTTCATGAAACTAGTATTGATCATATTTGCTGCAAGAGCCACTCCGAGCTGGGGCCATGCACAACATTTTCTTATTTCTAAAGTCAAACACATTGAAGGAAGACTACTGTAGTAAAGAATATTCCTAGAAAGCTTAATTTTCTGAATCATGATATAATTCAAATGTCATATTTGACCTTGACAGTCAAGGTCACTGGACCTTGACAGTCAAGGTCACTGAAACGACAAGGTTATATTTGAATATAGCGACAAGGTCATATTTGAATTAATCATGTCAATTTTTGTCATAAGTGTTCTTTATGACAATTTAACATTGGACACATAACTGCATGTTCAGTACTTCTTTCTTCATTTGTTAAACATCTAACATGCTCTAAACCTATTATTAAAACATTTTTAACGCACGTTTGACGTTTCTAAAGATATTAAAAACATATGGATTTCTGAGGCAGAATGTGTCTTTAAACAACAGGATATGTCTTTAAATAACAGGATATATAAGAACAAAATTGCACCTTTACCTTAAGCAAGTATCTAGCAGCAGCTGACATTGGTTTCTTTAAATCTTCACTATTAACACTGTCAGATGACTCAGCAGAACTTGAATCACATCTAGAGTTATCTTTCCCTTGTTGCTCTTCATCTAAACCATCATTGATACAGAAAGATTTCTCATTTTTCAGCTCAGCATCACGTGACTGCTCACAGCCGGCACTAACAGGCTGATATGAGGGTAATGATACCCCAAGAGTTTCTGAATCTAAAAATGTAAAAGTGATTCACAAAATATTCATAAACTTATTTATTCCCTTGACACAACAATATACCCGATATTAAGTTTTTTATACGAATTTTAATGATGAAACTGAAAGGATGAAAACTGAACACTTTGTAAGATAACTGAAGCTTAAGCTTGGCATTTCATTCAGTTTTTTCTGCTGCGGGCAAATGTAATCTTTTATTTGTTACCTGCTATACAGAATGGTAACATCTGCAGATGTTTCTAATTTTCATCATCCTAATATGTAAGTGTTGATTTCAGCTGGCATTACATAGAGGATATTGAATGTGTGTAAGTTTAAAATGTGTTGAATTTATTCAATGAGTTCAATATATTTACAATTAAACTTATTCAAACTTAAAAACCTATTTATGCAACCCCCACCCCCATGCCAGATGAAATTTCCGACATGGGTAAAACTAACAGGAAACACAAGTCTGACATACAAGAATTATTGGCACTGATCCACTCACTGACTGTCCAAATTGTGAAAAATTTGGAACAACCGTGCGTTTATTTTGACAATTGTGATCATTACACATTTTTTCTAAATTTTCTTTAATTTAAAAAAAAAATGACACTATACGTATATTCATATTGTCACAACCTATAGTGTGTAGAATTTTAAATATAATATATCTACTTTGTGTGAAGTCAAACATGTTTATTTTATATTTACAAAGAGACTGTGCAGCAATTATCAGTATATAGAATTTAAGCATAGCATATCTTTAATAGACTTTTGCATATAAACAAGACAACCAATTTTCATCTTCCTTCACATTAAGTTACAAAAATGTTTTGACTAATACTTTTAAGATAACCTTAAACTAGCAGCTCTTGATTGCAATTTTTACTGTTTCTGCAACAAACAAAAGTTAATACCTGTAGGTGACAGCTCAGTCTGCTCCCCTATCTTCTTATGTTTCAGTAGCCAATCTTCTATAAACTCATTCTTATCTACCGCCTCTACCCGTGTCAGAACAGAAGATTTCTTGCCTGCTATACTTGTCAATCTGTCATCTACTTTAATATTTTTACAACCTGTTGTATCTTCATCTTTTAACATATCCTTTCCAGCAGAATGCCTGAATAAATATTTTCCAATCTTATTGTCACTTTTATCATTATTTTCTATATTTGTTCCTTCCTGTAAACATAATGTTGCAGGATTTTCCGGTACATCATTTGAAATGTTTATATCATTTTCTACATTTCTTTTTCTGTAGAATCTTATTCCTCTATCAGACTTTTTATAAACAAGGTCACTACTAGTTCCTATGTTTTCAGTATCATTTAACACCTTTACAGGCCCTTTATAAACACTACTGGTTCCTTTGTTTTCAATATCATTTAACACCTTTACAGGTTCTTTCAATTTAGTTTGATCAATTGGTTTCTTCGAACTAGTTTTTGCACCAACATCGCTTAATACTGCTTGTTTTTTGGAAGGTATTAAACTAACAGAATCTGGACTAGAGTTATCTTTACATTGTTCATTATTCTCTGCTGAAAATAAAGACTCTGACGATCTATTCAATTCAGCAGATTTTCCAACTTTGACACTTTCGTGACTAGTTTTTTTCTCAGAGCCTTGACTAGAATCTAAACTAGACTTTGTCTTGTTTGTCTTTTCAATATCACATTTCTTCTTTGTCTCACAAGATACAGTAGCTGGATAAGGAGAATCTACAAAATTCTGCCAGAACACTTTATTACCAAAACAATTCCCATCTATGTAAATTTTACGTGGTTCATATGTCTTACAAGGTTTTCTTAAATTCATACTCTCTCCAACTTTAGGAGACTTTCCTTCATCTTTAACAGAGTCTTTGTTAACATTTAATGAATCTGTCTTTGCTTTCTTAGTGGGGCTTCTTATCAGAAAATCATCAAGAGAAGAATTATCAGTGTTGTCAAGCATTTCAATAACAGAAGATGTAGTGTGCTTCTTTTCCTTTTGCTTTATACCATCAATTGTTCTACTTGAATCTTGTTTATTGAACCTCTGTTTCTTTTTGTCAGTCTGATAATTCAAATTTACTTCTTCATCTTCATCATACAGTTTCCTTTTCCTTTGCAAATCCATCTTTCTATATGGTTTAACTTTAAATATAGTTTTTCCTTGACTGCTTATTGAATAGGTGACATTTGGAGCTTTTTGATGTTCTGTTTTCTTGATCAATTTTGTAAATGCTTCATTATCAGCTGATTCATTCAATTTTTTATTTCTCAACTCATTAACTATATCATTGTCAATGTCCACTGCTGGTTGTATTGTTTCGGCACTTGAAGTCACAGGATTGACATTTTCACTCTTCTCATCTTTTCTCACTTTTTCTGTTTCATTTACGGTATATGGTTCTATCTTTGAAGCGATCATCTTTTCAGGTGAAGACAATCTAACTGATGTGTCATGTTTTTGGGCTGGATTGTCTAATGGACTTTTCATTAAATCTTTTTCCAATTGTTTTGAACTTTCGCATCCATCATTAATATCTTTACCATGAAAATAGACATCTACTAATTTATCTGTCTTTTCAGATTGGTAATTTCCAGGATTAGATTTTCCTAATTCTTCTGAGCTTTCATATCCATCATTTATCTTTTTCAATGATTTTTCTTTGTTTTCAGATTGGTATATTCCAGGACTAGATTTTTTAAATTCTTTTGAGCTTTCACAATCATCACTTATACTTTTAACTGATTTTTCTTTGTTTTCAGATTGGTTAATTACAGGAACAGATTTTTCTAATTGTTTAGAACCTTCACACCTTTCACTTGTACCTTTACCTGGAAATGGAACCTCTAATAATTTATCTGTGTTTTCAGATAAGTTAACTTCAGGAATACTCTTGTCATTGTTTGTTGTCATGACCTCTGGCAATGGTGTCAGCTCTAAACTTTCAGATAAAGTGGGAACAAACTGTTGTGTTTGTGGAATTATACTTGACTCTGTTGAATCTCCTGAAACACTGACTTCCAATGGTTCGTTATTGAATTTTGTTGGAGATTCTGGTACAAATTCCTGCGTTTCTGGAAACTGACATATTTCAAAAGGTTGTGTACCCTGCAGAGGGCTTGTAAAAATGTTTGAAAACTGATGACTTATACTTTCACTTTCCTGCATTTTGTGCACGCAAAGACTACCACCTTCTTCTGAGTTTGCTGGTTTTATATTATCAGAAGCTTCATTTATTACACCGTTTGTAACATCTTCATGTATGTCAACATCATTCTCTTTACTCTTCTTAACATTCACCTCACTCTCTGTATAAGTTTCTTTAAGCACTCCTAAGTAACCCATATCTTGATCAAAACAATCAGTTCCATCAATTGTTTCCGCATCAATGTGATCATTTTTATCTTTTCCAACCAGCTCTTTGTTAAATGTCTTCACTAAGTCATCTACAGGTCTGCACTTCCTTTTTAAAGATAAAACTATTTTATCTTTTTTACCTCTAGGAAACTCTGTATCTGAAACAACCCAACCAGAGTATTCTTTATTAACACTCGAATCACTGCTCTCTTTTGTAAAACCTTTCTCATCATCTGATGTAAGCTCATATCCAGAAAAAGGGATTCTAAAAGTTTTGTCTGATTTCTTGGAAACATTCTCTCTAGTTGTTAAACTATCATTACCACCAATAGCTGATATTCCACAAATATTTTCCTTTTCGTCACATCTTTCAAGCCTTATGCATACGTCTCTATTTAAGCTTTTATCTAAACAACATATTGTATCATTTTGTTTCGATAATTCTGAGCTATTATCATCACCTGAGCAATGCAAATCATTTTCATTTTCAACTGCCTCTTTACAACTGTCTGGAATACGTTTATTATTCACTTTTCCACATATATTTTCTTTTTTATCACATCTTTCAAGTCTTATATGTATGCTTCTCTTAAATTTCCATTGGATGTTGTTTTTCTCTGAAACCCTTCTCAAAATGTTGTCATCTATCTGGGTCCATTCAGTAGAATTCATTTGTGCCCTTTCAGTACCATCTTCTTTACTTTTACATCCCACAGGGCTTTTATCATGTTTTTTTACTACGCACACATATTTTAGTTTGGTAGAATGAAAGTCTTTAGCTACTACTTGCAGCTTACGATGCATTTTATTATCAACTTCAGATAAAGGATGGGCAGCAGTCTCAGATTCCTTTGTTGAACATGCTGTTACATCTTTATCATTCATAGATATAGCTTCTTCCTTCACACCATCGTTCTGATGGTTCACGCCATTGTTCTGATGGTTCACACCATCGTTCTGATAGTTCAAACCTGATTCATCTTGTTGTACATCGTTCTGATCTTGGCTGTCTCCTGATATCACATTTTTGTTGTTTAAATATCTTCTAATGTTACTATACTTGTTTCCTCTGCGGACAAAACTGGACTTGGAAGAAGCTGGCTTTCCTTCATTTGCTCTAGAAGAAACAGACTTCCCTTCACTACAAGAATTAAGTTCACGATCTTTCTCACGACATGAAATCACTTTTCTTACTAATCTTTTTGATCTTTTACAACTGTCAGACTCAATTTCAAAGTAATCAGGAGTAAATGGGTTACGTTTTTTTGATTTCTCACTCAGTTTATCAGAATTTTCACTGTCTTGAATTTCTTGGCTCTGATTAAAATGCTGTCTTTCTTCACTCACATTGATGCTTTCAGTATCGTGTTTGAGAGAATAGCGACACCCTTCAGCATCTGATTGCTTAGAATTTTCACTTTTAGATTTATTATTTGCTTTATTATACCTTTCAATTGTCTCACAATGAATTCTATCAATTGTTTCCAAGTCAGTCATTTCTAACATATCATCTGATTGTAATAGATTGTTTCTACTCTCCTCCAAACTTTCATTTAATGATGAACTTACAATTGGATAACCAGTATCAGTGCTTTCCATTTTACTATATTCTGTTTCATCTTCTATTGGTTCAGTTTTCACTTCAGTCAAGAGTTCATCCTTAGAACCAAAAATCAAGGGCTCAATGCAATTACTTCCAAGTTCTTCTGTACTGTTTATATTTTCAGAAACTTTGCTCACTTCATTATTACCTTCACTGCTTGTGTCCTCCTGTTTTATTTCATTTTCTTTGAGGCATTTACCCCCTTCTGCATCATTGCTCACTTCATGTGACAAGTTTTTTCTACTGTTCGACATAGAAATACGATTAGCTAAATATTTCAAAGCTTGTAATTTCTTCCTTTTGTCATTCAGTCTTACAACCATGTTATGCCATTTGTCCTCGGGTGATTTAGAAGAGGTAGAAGATTGAGAGTAGTAATTTAACATCACTGATACATCTCTATCTGACAATGAAGACTTACATGAATTAGAGCTGCGAGAGGTTTCCATTTCAGCCCCAATTTCACTTTTAATACTTTGACACTGTGCCAACATAGAACAGTCATCATTAATAGTTAGTTCCTTATTCAACCTATCTCCTTGAGAAACTATTATACCAGTTCTATTCTGGCTTGTTGAATCTTTCCAAGTATTATCAGGCATGTGTTCACTTTCATTGATATTTGTTTCAAATTGTCTCTGACTTTCATTTTCTTCAGTACTTTCAAATACTGATGAATTTTTTGCAGAAACTTCTATATTTTCAATCTCATTAATTTGTGTGCTGTGAGCATTTGGAGACCCCAACTCAAAGCTCTCTCTCATATCATTTGGAGTATTAACTCCTTTTTGAATATTGTCTAGTTCATTGGCCTCTTTGTTTGCCTTTTCCTTAACAACCAATGAGTTCTTAACATTTCCTAAACATAAACTTTCACTTGCATTATGCTCTTGTGTTCTCAGTTTTAAATTTGCAGTTTTTCTTAATCCCAATGTCTTCATATGTTTGGTTCCTGTATCACTGACTACTTTAGCAATTTCTTTATCATTTTCACTGATAGACACACATGGTTTGTCTTTAACTTCCTTTCCTCCCACTCTCCTAGGAGAATCTATGTGAGGACTTACAGGATGTTCCTGACTATTACAATCTAACCTTTCATTATCTATTGCATTGCATATCTCATTTTCCTTCAAATCGTATTCATTTACTTTGTCTTCAATCGATTTTTCTGTTTCAACATTAACCACAGTTTTATTTGACTTATCACATGTTTCATGTTTGTCTGTTTCCATAGCAACCACAGTTTTATTCGACTTATCACATATTTCATGTTTGTCCGTTTCCATAGTAATTACATCTTGTTTTGACTTATCACATACATCACCATCATAATTATCCTGGCTCCGAAGGTCTGATGTTCCTAATTGAATATCTTTGTTCAACCCATAATCATTTTGTTGTGTGGAGGTCATGTTTGAATCTTCAAAACTGAATTGTAACGACTCTAGATCATCTTGCCACTGAGATGATGTAGCCTGTAAAAAAAGTATAAAAGAATTATCTGAATCAATGTATTACTACTATACATGACTTACAGTCAGAAAACCTTTTGTTGTTTTTCTAATTTTGGGTTTACGATGCTCTTAGATTTTTTATTCATCAATTTCCCTTTTGAAAATCAGAGCCCTTTAAATGGAAACAATATGGTATTTGAAGATTAAAATAAATATTGTTTGAAAATGAACATATAAAATTACCACTCTTATAAGATAATTATATAAGCCTTGATAACCATATCTACTGACAAGCCCACTTCACAATTATGACCACTGGTAGTCTTAATAAGTATTTAACTTTTATAGTGAGTCATGAAAGGTTCATTTCTGAGAGGTTTGGTTTAATACATCATTGAAATTAAGGATAACATTTTACTTTAAGAAATTGTGTAAAACTGTGATATTATAGAAAACATGCCACCACAAAAGCCTTACCTCTTACCTTGCCATCACATGAAAGAAAAAAATCTTAAAGCTTATGTTTTGCACTGTTAAACGTAACCGACTATAAATAATGTTTATCTTACTATCTTAAAAGTTTATCTCTGAACGCTAGATAGTTTAAACCATTTTAAACTTGATCATTTACATACATTGTATCTTAAGAAACACACAGACAGTTGAATTACATAATTATAATGCTCAACATTAGGCTCTTTATTTCATTTTCTTTTTTTTGTTTTTTTTTTTTGCTTTTTTCATATTTTGCATTGGATTTTAAATCTCATACATATACTGGAAAGGTCATATAGGGGTTAACTAGCTTCAATTGTGGCAGGTTAACCTCTAAGTTTTATCAGAGAATAATCAGAGAAGAAGCAGACACTTGAGTAGAAACATTAACTTTTTGGAAGGTAGGTAAATATCTCACTCATTTTTAAAATCAAAACTACTAAAATAAGGACCTTAACACTAAGGCTACATAGGCCTATCTAAATTTAATGACAGCTATATAGAATTATCAAGATAGTCATTTCCTAATACCATAAACATCAAACAAATTGCAGAAATGCTTTTATAGGAATATATATAAATAAATATGATATACCTGAGATGAAGTATGCACCTTATCAACTTTGAAAAGAGCATTCACTGGATCTGGAGACTGTCTGTCAACTTTTATTTTATCTTCATCTGTAGAAAATAAAGTAAATTATTCAATGTATAAATCAATGCAAATCTTATAGTGTCATTATGCCCATTTTTTCCCCTCAAGTTCTCCATAGTTGTATCAAATATATGTTTCAAAATAATGACAATTTAAAAATGTTCACTGACCAATAAGTAATCATGAAAATTGTTTACGATTAGATATCTTTTATCAATTAATGATACATTCAAGATATTTAAGAATTTTCGGTGTGTCACGTGGATTATTAATTATATATGTGAAGTAGAATAAGAAATTGAAAATAATTTATGGCAAAATGTGAGGTCATTTGATCTTTACCTGTTAACACTACATTAACAATATGACGGATAAAATGTCACTTGCAAAGATATATGTGAGATTATCTTGACAGTTGACCAACATTGTTAAGGTCATAAAGTTATTTTCCAGTTTAACTGGGAAAGGAAGACCTTGAATTACTTCAGGCATTTATAACCTGCCACCCTGGTAGAACCATTAACTTCCTGTAAGCCAGGTAGACAGATTTCTTAAAGGCATATTATGCCTAAGAAACAAATAAATTTCAAATAGCAAAATGTAAACAAAGTATTTTGACTTCAATACAAAATACTAAATTACTATAACTGTACAAACTGCCAAAAAGCTCCAGATGAAAAAATGGTTCAGGCAACTAGCCAATGAGTGACTTTTTGGAAACAAATAAAGTTAACCAAAAAAATAGAAAGCTTTTGAGAAATAAAAATAAATTCATTTCTGAGGCATAATGGGCCTTTAAGTAACAGAGTCCAAAGTCCTTGACCGGACTTAAACCTACAGCAATCATCATCATGAGACTTTAACATTTTTTAAAGAGACATAATCAAGAAATCATCACTGTTGCCAAGCAACACTAGGAAGGTCCTTGTCACACTAAATTTATCTATTTTTTTTTTATTATTTTTTTTAGGGGGTTTCAAGGCATATGACAAGTATAAAATTTTCCTTCTTAAAAAAAGGCAAAACATGTGTTTTACAACATTATACTTAACCTGAAGAAAATAACACTGAATGTGACATAATTTGTGATAATTGTAGCAAAATGTAAACAAAGTAGTATTTTGACTTCCATACATAACACTAAATCGATATATAAATATGCACTATTTGCCAAAACACAAAAGTAAAAGATTGCTTAGTTTTATCGTCAATAAGTAACTTATTGGAAATTGTAACTGCACACAAAAATAAAAGACCTTTGAGGAAAAAAGTGTAGCATTTTTTAGGTTTAATGGGCCTTTAAGCTACACTTCATAACGATCTAATAGCACGTTTCCAGCTTTAGCAGTGGGTAAAGACCTCAGTGCACAAGTAGGCACCCAAGTAGTCACAGATGTACCAAAAGATGTAAGGATTCCATAACTTAAAATTAGAAAGAAAAAAACATTCAGGGAAATAAACAATATGCTATATTTTCAACATCAACATCATCAAAACAGTTATGGAGTATATTATATAAAGTAACCATTACAACAATTAAATCTAGAGACTAGTACCTGTTTGTTCTTTAGGACTAAAAGATATTCCAAGATAAGACACAGACTGGCTTAATTCTCTCCCATTTTTGTTCTCTAAAATACAAAAATAAATTCAATGGTGAAAACAAGCTAACAATAAAGATTTTATACAGAAAATGTTTCCAATCTTTTAAAGGTATAAAAAGTATTATAACAGACTCTATAAACTGAGTCTGCAAGTGTAGAACAAACTTTATAAAATTGAGTCTGCAATTGTAGAACAAACTTTATAAAATTGAGTCTGCAATTGAAGAACAAACACTTTATAAAATTGAGTCTGCAATTGTAGAATAAACTTTATAAAATTGAGTCTGCAATTGTAGAATAAACTTTATAAAATTGAGTCTGCAAATCTCCTGTTACAATTGGAACTAAGACAGCAAAATTATGTAGCTGACAATCCAGGTAAAACAGTTTGATGTAATGGAAGAAAGACTAGACCAGACGCTTAATGCTACAATAGAAAACTACAGTTGTAGGCAGACTAAACAACAAGAGCTGTCACAGGAGACAGCCAAGCTCGACTAATAAAATACTGGACGCAGTAAGGAGGACAAAACTATGAAAGAAAAATCAATTATGTATAATTATTTATTAAGTTATAGTAAAAAAAATAACATTTGTTAAAATAAATTCCAAGATCAAGGGAAATAATTCTAGAAATAGTCACGCTAGAGTTATGACCCTTGTCACACAACATGTATATAATGATAAGAAGTATATATTTGAAGTTTGAAGTAGATACCTTAAAAAGTAACAAAGTTATAATATTTCTTAAAGAAAATCCTAAGTTCAAAGAGAGATAAATCTGTAAAAATTACTTCAAGAGTTATGAACATTGTCACATAAAATATAATTGATTATAAGGAATAAGTATTTGAAATTTGAGGTAGATACCTTTAAAACTAAAAAAGTTATAGTAAAAAATAACATTTTTCTAGTAAAAAAATCTAAGTTGATGGGGAGATAAATCTTGCAATATTGGTGCTAGAGTTATGAACCTTGTCACATAAGATGTGGATGATGATAAGGTACATTTATTTTAAGTATGAAGTTGATCCCTTTAGAAATAAATAAGTTACAGTAAAAAATAATATTTTTTAAAGAAAATTCTAATTCAAGGGGAGATAAATCTGAAAATATTGGTGCTAAAGTTATGAACCTTGTCACATAAGATGGGGATGATGATAAGGTACATATATTTGAAGTATCAGGTTGATCCCTTAAGAAATAAAGAAGTAACAGAAACAAGAGGGCCATGATGGCCCTGAGGTCGCTCACCTGTATATAGCCCCCCCCCCCCCCCCCCCACACACACCCATAAGAAGATGTTTCATGCTAAACATCTAAGCTCTAGCTCATTGGGCTTTTTAAAAGAAGTTTTTTTAAAGTTTTTTACTATACACATATAGTTAAAAACAATGACACCCCTGCGGCGGGGCCAGTTTGACCCCAGGGCTTTTATTTGAACAAACTTTGTAGACACTTACTAGAAGATGTTTCATGCTTAATATCTAAACTCTAGCTATTTGGGTTTTTTCAAAGAAGATTTTAAGTTTTTGCTATACACATATAAGGAAAATCAATGACCCCCGGGGCGGGGCCAATTTTGACCCCAGGGCTTTTATTTGAACAAACTTTGTAGACACTCACTAGAAGATTTTTCATGCTTAATATATAAACTCTAACTATTTGGGTTTTTTTCAAAGAAGATTTTTTTAAGTTTTTGCTATACACATATAAGGAAAATCAATGACCCCCGGGGCGGGGCCAATTTTTACCCCAGAGCTTTTATTTGAACAAACTTGGTAGACACCTATTAGAACATGTTTGATGCTAAATATCTTAGCTCTAGCTCTTTGAGTTCTTTAAAAGAAGATTTTTAAGTTTTTACTATATGCATATAGGGAAAATCAATGACCCCCTGGGGCGGGGCCAATTTTGACCCCAGGGCTTTTATTTGAACAAACTTGGTAGACACCCATAAGAAGATGTTTCATGCTAAACATCTAAGCTCTAGCTCATTGGGCTTTTTAAAAGAAGATTTTTTTAAGTTTTTACTATACACATATAGTTAAAAACAATGACACCCCTGGGGCGGGGCCAGTTTTGACCCCAGGGCTTTTATTTGAACAAACTTTGTAGACACTTACTAGAAGATGTTTCATGCTTAATATCTAAACTCTAGCTATTTGGGCTTTTTCAAAGAAGATTTTAAGTTTTTGCTATACACATATAAGGAAAATCAATGACCCCCGGGGCGGGGCCAATTTTGACCCCAGGGCTTTTATTTGAACAAACTTGGTAGACACCTATTAGAACATGTTTGATGCTAAATATCTTAGCTCTAGCTCTTTAAGTTCTTTAAAAGAAGATTTTTTAAGTTTTTACTATATGCATATAGGGAAAATCAATGACCCCCTGGGGCGGGGCCAATTTTGACCCTAGGGCTTTTATTTGAACAAACTTGGTAGACACTCACTAGAAGATGTTTCATGCCAAATATCTAAGCTCTAGCTCTTAGGGTTTTTTAAAAGAAGATATTTAAAGTTTTTTCTTTCGGTTGCCATGGCAACCAGAGTTCTGCATGGAATTAAATTCTTTGAACAATTTTTAAAGGTGACCACCAAAGGAACATTCCTGTGAAGTTTGGATGAAATTGGCCTAGTGGTTTATGAGGAGATGTCATTTAAAGTAAAAGTTTACGGATGACGGACGGACGACGGACGGACGACGGACGGACGCCGGACGGACGCCGGACGAAAAGCGATCACAAAAGCTCACCCTGTCACTTTGTGACGGTGAGCTAAAAATAGTATTTTTTAAGGAAAATTCTAAGTTCAAGGGGAGATAAATCTGAAAATATTGGTGCTAGAGTTATGAACCTTGTCACATAAGATAGGGATGATGATAAGGTACATATATTTTAAGTATGAGGTTGATCCCTTAAGAAATAAAGAAGTAACAGTAAAAATTAGTATTTTTTAAGGAAAATTCTAAGTTCAAGGGGAGACAAATCTGAAAATATTGGTGATAGAGTTATGAACCTTGTCACATAAGATGTGGTTGATGATAAGGAACATATATTTGAAGTTTGAAGTTGATACCTTAAGAAATGACAAAGTTATAGTGAAAAATATTTTACTGCACCAAAACTTTAATCTGAAATCTGGACGCGGACTCCGGGGCTAGTAGGACAGCTCTCCATATACTTCGTATAGTCGAGCTAAAAATGGGTAGTTTTGCAGTTTAAATAAAGTTTTGCATTTTTGTGCTTCTCTCCAATATCAGAAACATTCAAATTTCCAGCTTTACTGGTGTTGTTAGAATTTATGTGTGATTCTGTCCAGTTTTTCACTGGTCAACACTGCAGCAGAAGCATTAACTTTCTATAAGTTAGCCGAATATGCAAGTATCCAGATGGGATTCAAACTAATGGTGATGACTAGCATGATTTACAAAGTTAGTAAACTTCACCACTAAAGCTATACTATTTCCACATGAAAATAGACAATCAAGACACAGGTAAGTTCTTGTAATCAATGGAAACTCACTGCCTGTATGAGGCAAATATCCTGATTTTATTGGTACTACACTTCCAGTTAGCTCCCTTGATTACAGTAATAAAGAAGGAGTACAGGAACTTGTTTCACTGTCAAGCTTAAATACATATGCTTTAAACTACTACAGTAATTTGTAAGCTGAACTTAATACCGGAGTATTGTGGCTCGTTTTGAACATTATCTGGTGGACTAGACAGTGTGTTAGCAGCACAAACATCAAACTGTTGATCACTGGGACATGGTGTTTCTTCTTCTGGCTGATAGTCAGGCTGCCATTCTAAAAATAGAAGTGTATTCCAAAAATAGAAGTGTATTCTAACAAGAGGGCCATGATGGCTCTGAAGTCGCTCACCTGTATATAGGCCCCCAGAGCAGGGCCAGTTTTGACCCCAGGGCTTTTATTTGAACAAACTTGGTAGACACCCATTAGAAGATGTTTCATGCTTAGTATCTAAACTCTAGCTATTTGGTTTTTTTTTCAAAGAAGATTTTTTAAGTTTTTGCTATACACATATTAGAAAAATCAATGACCCCCGGGGCGGGGCCAATTTTGACCCCAGGGCTCTTATTTGAACAACTTTGGTAGACACCCATTAGAAGATGTTTCATGCTCAATATCTTAGCTCTAGCTCTTTGGGTTCTTTAAAAGAAGATTTTTTAAGTTTTTACTATATGCATATAGAAAAAATCAATGACCCCCTCGGGCGGGCCAATTTTGACCCCAGGGCATTTATTTGAACAAACTTGGTAGACACTCACTAGAAGATGTTTCATGCTAAGTATCTAAACTCTACCTCTTTGTGTTTTTTTAAAGAAGATGTTTTAAGTTTTTGCTATTGGTTGCCATGGCAACCAGAGTTCTACATGGAATTAAATTCCTTGAACAATATTTAAAGGTGACCACCAAAGGAACATTCCTATGAAGTTTGGATGATATTGGCTTATTGGTTTATGAGGAGATGTCATTTAAAGTAAAAGTTTACGGACGGACGACGGACGGACGACGGAGGGACTCCCAACGAAAAGCGTTCACAAAAGCTCACCCTGTCACTTTTGTGACAGGTGAGCTAAAAATAGTTTAGCATATCTAAAAATAGATATAGAACTCTTTATGTTACATAAAAATCAACTAATCAAGTTATAGATTTATTTCTGTAGGGAAATGTCGCAAACTAACAGAGAATTTAAGAAACATGTATATTAAGTAAACTTTGTATTTCATTCTAAAATGCCAGCCATAAACTTAATAAAAGGGAATTTTTCTTTACTTTTTGGTCACCTGTAGCATATTTCTGATGACACTTATATACAAACATTCTTGTACTTTTGCACAGTTTTTAACTTCTTTTAACATGACTCTTTGTGTCATTAAGCACTAAATGCAGAAATTGATAACCATCTGCTGGGCCGCCTGCCTCAGTGTAAAATGTCACCATTTTAATTGTGCTTATATGAACACTGTATGAAGTAAAAGATGCACTGTTAATATATACATGTATGTCATGCGATTTCCTTGAATTTTAGCCATATTGCGTAAGACATCAAGTAAATGTCAACTTTGTATTAAACAAGTTTCTTGACCACAGATAATGTGTTAGGGTTAGTTAAATGATGATTTTTGATGTGGGCCTCATACACACACCTCAGGCCTGTATTAATATATTATCATTTAATGTTATAATATATGTTTACTTTCTTGAAATTGTTTGTTTGTTTGTTTGATTAGATTTTACATTGCACTGACAAAGTATAGGTCATATAGCAACATTCCAGCTTTTCTGGTGAAGGAAGACCTCAGGTGCCTTTCAGTGCATTATTTCAGGCACAAATGGGCACCTGAGTAGAACTAACAACATTCCATAAGCTAGCTGGATAGTTCCCTCACATAAAAGAATCGAAAGTCCCTGTCGGATTCGAACCCTCAGCGGTGAGGGGCAAGAGGTTTGAAGTCAACGACCTAAACCACTCGGCCACGGACGCCCCCTTTCTTAAAATAACGTGCCTTATTTAGAGAAAATTAAAAGAGTGTAAATTCAATGCTGAATTTATTAAACAAGTTGAATAAAGTTATACTATGCAAGCCTCTGGTGAGCATAATATTATTTTATTCAACAAGTTCAATAAATTTAGTATTGAACTGTCTAAACAAATATAATATTCTATTTACCACTTATTGCGAGAAGTGTTATTCTATTTAGCCCTTACTGCGTTAATAATGCAGTTAAAATGTGGTGATAAATACTGCAATATCAGTCATTAATTGCACCTAATATGTAATGTTTTACTTAAATCTTGAATCCTTTTTTTTCCCCCTGAAAAATCTAAGTATAATATTCTCAAGTTTGATTTCCTTAAAATATTTTGGCTTATCTTGAGGTGTGCAGCTTTAAAATTGATGGAGATACCTTTTCGCAAAATTATCTTAGGCTTGAGTGTTCAGCCGTTGTCAACAACTTTGTGGGTCAACACTCGTTCAATGTTATTATTATTATTACATATGAGATATTATAATAACTGACTTACCTGGAATATTCTGTAGAATTTCTAACTGTGACTGAGGTATGAGAAATTCAGTTACAGTAAATGGCTCACATAATTTCTCCATCAAACTCTCTGTTACAGTCATGCCATTATTATCTGTAAATAAAACCATCACTATATACGATAATTATTTTTCTATTTCATAAATAAAATGAAAAATAAGTCTGTTTAATTAACTTTAACATAATTTAAGAATCTTTCTATGGTTGCTGGTACAGACTGGAATATCTAGCTGTCGGGTAACTGTTTACCGCTGTAACAAGGCTCTGTCGAGTTTCTGCTTAACAGTTACCCAACAGCTATATATTCCTGTCTGTGATGACAACCGGTGCTTGATTATTTTTGTTGCATATTACATATCAATGATATTATGAAAAGAAATGACAAAGCAAATATTTTCATTTAGCAATTTTTTCTTATAACGGTACAATGACATCATCCTAAGAATGTAGTTTGTTCATAAAATGCGTGTTGGAATGACATCATTTAAAACACAAGACGTGTCATCATGGGGGATTAAGACAGGTTTTTCTAGCAACGGTGTAAACAATAGATAGTCCCTGTCTGATATGCAAGAAAACAATAATCATACACTGGCTGCCAGTACAGACAGCAATATCTGGTAAAAAAGCTATTGGTTTTACAGTTGTAACAAAGCCAGATATTCTAATCTGTAAAAGCAGCCAGTGTTTGATTCTTTTTCTTGCATTTGACATTTATGTATAAATTAATTTTAAAATATGCTAATATGACACCATTTTAAAGTTGTTTTTTTTTTTTTTTTTATTATTGGGTTTTACGTCACGCCAACATAGTATAGCTCATATGGCCACATTCCAGCTTTTATGGTGGAGAAAGATCTCAGGTGCCCTTCCCAGCATTATTTCAGGCACAAACGGGCACCTGAGTAGAACCATCAAGGTTCCATAAGCTAGCTGGATAGCTTCCTCACATGAAATAATCCTAAGTCCTTGTCGCAATTTGAACCCACAGCGGTGTGGGGCAAGTGGTTTGAAGTCAACGACCTTAACCACTGCCTTGGACGCCCCCCATTTTAAAGCAAACATCATGTCTTGCACAGGAAGTGTAGGACAAGCTTTTTTAACACCGGATTAAACAGTAGAAAGTTCTGTCTGATACGCAACAATATACTGAGAGAATGTTTATAAAATGATTTTGTTCTATGATCAGAAAGACAATTGCTTGAGATGTTTTTTATGACATGGTAAAACTTCAAAATAATATAATAAAGATTATATTATACCTGTACATTTGGTTGACTTTTCTTCAACATCTTGACTGCTTGACTGTGAAAAACCCTCAGAAGGTTTAGCCATCTCATCTAACAACTGTGACAAGCCAATACTGTCTGTATTATTACATTCTGATGCACGAACTGCCCTGATATACAAAATATATCACTGTAAAATTATACATGTCACAGGAATTTCTTGTTTTAGTTGGAATACTCTGTAATCATTCCCCTTCTCTGAATATCAATCCCAACTATATATTTAATTTCCTACCCTGTATTTCATTACCCTACTCAATCTTTTATTTCCTAATTTGTATTTCAACCTTTACTCTGTATATCACCCTCTACTCTGAATATTATTCCCTTATTCTGTAATTCACTCTCTTTTATTTTAAACTACCTGCATTTTATCCCCCTACACTGTATTCCATTTCCCTACGCTGTATTGCATCCCTTTCTTTGAATAGCATTCCCTTACTCTATATTTCATTCTGTACTTCATTCACCTACTCTGTACTTCATTCCCCTAATCTGTATTTTATTCCATACTCTGTATTCCATTCCCTTACTACACTTTGTTTCATTCCTTACAAAGCTTAATTTTATTTCCCAACTCTATTTCACCCCCTACTCTTTATTTCACTCTTCTATTGTCTCCATTTTATTTATTTATCTCAGTATATATTAATCAGTTGATTATTCAACTTGTAAAAACACTTACAGGCTTTATTCATTTCATATTTATTATTTTGATTATGATAAACTTTACACAAACACACACACACAAATACCTGAAAAGTAATTTTTATATTTTGATAAAAGCAACACTTAATCAACAGTAAACAATTCAAACTATCAACCAATACACAAATTACCTTAAAATAGGAATATCATTAAACTCTTAAATAGGAAGAAAACTGACTTACCTTTCCTTTATTTCTCTTATTTCTTCAGCCATCTTTTCCAAAACTTTCTTATCCTCCATACTAGATTTAAGGGAAGAAATACATAGAATAGTAAAAAGTTTTATAGTAGACATATATATATATCAGAGATAAAATATGACTTTAGTACAAAACATATGCCAATACTAATCCATAGGATATACTCTAGAAATGTGTCCACAGGACATGGTCTAGTAATATATCCATATGTCATGGTCTAGAAATGTTTCCATAGGACATGGTCTAGAAATATATCCATAGGTCATGGTCTAGAAATGTGTCCATAGAACATAGTCTTGAAATGTGTCCATAGAACATAGTCTAGAAATGTGTTCATAGAACATAGTCTAGAAATGTGTCCACAGGACATAGTCTAGAAATGTGTCCATAGGACTTTGTCTAGAAATGTGTCCACAGTACATAGTCTAGAAATGTGTTCATAGAAAATAGTCTAGAAATGTGTCCACAGGACATAGTCTAGAAATGTGTCCATAGGACTTTGTCTAGAAATGTGTCCACAGGACGTAGTCTAGAAATGAGTCCACAGGACTTTGTCTAGAAATGTGTCCATAGGACTTTGGTCTAGAAATGTGTCCATAGGATTTTGGTCTAGAAATGAGTCTATAGGACTTTGTCTAGTCTAGAAATGTGTCCATAGGACTTTGTCTAGAAATGTGTCCACAGGACTTTGTCTAGTCTAGAAATGTGTCCATAGGACTTTGTCTAGAAATGTGTCCATAGGACTTTGGTCTAGAAATGTGTCCATAGGACTTTGTCTAGTCTAGAAATGTGTCCATAGGACTTTGTCTAGAGATGTGTCTATAGGACACAGACAAGCCCATATTTCATGTGATAGCCTTACAGACAAGAGCAACTCTATATATATCTCCCCTAAGAAAGGGGGGGCATGACTGTTCACTTATCGTGAAACTTATACAGATATATACAAGTTTCAATATATGTTCCGGCTTGTGAAAATATCGGGAATTTTATCATGCTTCTTAAAAATATATTCAATATTTCATGAAAAATGAAACAATAACCTATTCATTTCATTTTACCTTCAAGAAAAAATAGTTGTTTACTAAAACACCAATTTGCTAGGCAGCTGCAATTGTACAGCATGCAGTAATACATTGGTGTGTGACACAGTTCAAATTCAATACACAATTTATCACTGTCACCTTGACCTGTCTTGAAAAAACATAACCAGATAGTATTTTTGACTGATATAGCATCATATTTCAAGGGTAAAATCAAATACTTACCAATATTTAACGTCAAATTTTGCTGTGTATCCTGGCTGCAGGTCCCAGATATTAAATTTCTCTACATATACTACATATTCTCCACTATCCTGTTATAATAAATATATAGTGTTTTTAATTACCCGCCTGCAAGTCACACCACCTATAAGACGGACCATCTATAGGACGGACCACCTATAAGACGGACCATCTATAAGACGGACCACCTATAAGATGGACCACTATAAGACGGACCACCTATAAGACGGACCATCTATAGGACGGACCACCTATAAGATGGACCACTATAAGACAGGCCACCTATTATAAAGGGGGGGGGGGGTCTAAACACTACATTAAAATCTCTAGAAAGACAAGATGAATTTTCTAAATATTTCATTGACCAGCCTTACGATTATACATGCATATGCACTGCATGTTTGTTATGTTCATTTTCATGGGATAATAGTGATGTTTATATCACCATCAGTGCATACATGTAGTATACAAATGCTGAAAGTTTATTAATCTATGTTTATTTTCTGTGAGAAATGATTTATATTATACAGTATTATAAATTATTTGCTAAAATACTTTTGACAGATCATATATATATGTAAATGTGTACATGTGTTTTAGATTATATAATTAGTTATAGATTTTTGACAGGTTTTATTGCCCTATATAAACAGTTGTTTGGAAATATAACCTGAGTCGCTAGAAATATCCATAATGAATTCATAATACAGCAAGCATATTTCTTTAGAGAAAAAAGTAAGATTTCTTCATCAATTGTATATAAATTAATATCAACGTCACGATTTTCAAATGAAAAGTGGCGTTACAAACATAAAGTATTATAAAAGTTCATAATTATGTTTAATGGGTCATATAACCTGTGAAAAAAATATATCTAATATTATAAAATTGAAACATTATATCAAAAGCTTAAAAAGAAAGAACTTGAAATATACCTCTCCTTGCTTTACTTTAAGTTCAATTCTGAACTGTTGCAAAATTAGTAAAGAGTTATCCCATCTTGTGCTTCTAGTAAGACCAATACTTGTCAAGCTGCAAGAAAAGAAATACACATATAAGTAGTCAAAATAATATTGTCAAAATAATATACAAGTATAGAATATTCATATCAGATACTGATCCCTTAAATTCTGAATGGATTGTTCTAAATCTAAATCTAAAAATCGGCAAGTCCATCTCACATGCATTTATTTAGATAAAAGGGTTAATTGATATGTTTTATTTGTTCCCTAACCACTCTCCATAAACAAACAGCTTTTACATGAAGTTAAACCTGGAAAATGTTTACATAAATACAATCTGATTACATTCAATACATAAACTTCATGGAATAAATATAAAAACTTACGCTTTGTTCACAGCTTCATCTGGAAAAGCAGCAGAAATAGACAATTCTCCATCAGACACTAGCATCACAATACTTCCAGGCAGTTCAATTGACCTTCTCTGTACAATATAAAATAAAAGCAGATTTAGGCAGATTCTATCTGGTCAATATGAGTTTCACAATTGGGGGCACCAGACTCCAGACTTGTTGTGATCAAACAAGGGTCTTACATGCCATAGTTTTCAGTTGAGATCATTTGATATCACCAAGCCCATGCATTTGGTTGATGTAAATAGATCTAAAGAAGTTCCATGAAGACAATAATTAAAGTTCAGTAAGGGATTTGTGTAAAAGTTTTGAGACAACAGGACTTCAACTTGTGTATCAGTCTTAATTGTATGACAAAGTTTTAAGCTTTTAAATTTTCAAGTGACTTACAAAAGCAACATAATGGGTTTGCGACCAGCATGGATCCAGACCAGCCTGCGCACCTGCTAAGTGATGGTTTTGAAAACTTTCGTCCGAAGTACTGAATTGGACACATTGCAACTTTTCTAATTACAAGATAACGATAAAAACTGAGGAATTCTGACTGTAAACGGATGTGTAGACTGGTCACCCGCACAAGTCTATGGGAACCATAATTGGACAGGGAACCAGAATAACGGAAGCTGAGTAGAAAATATCGAATGACAGTTTTAAAACGGAAAATGTAAAATGAAAATTGAAGGCGCCATTTTGTTTGAAAAATCTGATAAATAAAAACAATTTTTTGTCGAATTTTGTTGTGAAAACTATCTAGAATGATAGAAAATGGTCTAACTAAGAAAATGAATTCGAACACCTTTTATTCAGTCGTTAAAGCTGTACAGACGTTTAAAGTATTGTTTACGTGACGTCACAATGTAGCTCCAAACAGCACGTGCAAAACAATCAAATCAAGTACGCTATTTTAATGTCGCAAACGTTTTAAGTTTAACATTTATTTCACTTTTAATAATCTTTATTTAACTTGAAAAATTATAGAGTGAAATAAAATAAACAAACAAAGTTTTATCAACGTTTTCAAAATTCGATATTCATTTAACGACAGGGGCGGAGCCATATTGAACACAGTACGTGTGACGTCACACGCACTCGTCACTTCATTTGAAATTAAAATGAGCGATTATTTCATACAGTGTTTCTGCCAGCTCTGATTTTCTGATGACCCCCTGTATGATATTTTAGGGGTCATTTCATATTCATAAGGGTCATGCTAATAAATTTAACAAAAATGTAAAAAACAACAGGTAACACTTTATAAGTTTTATTTTCTAAGGCACTTTACTTCTTGCCAGAGAACATATATGTACCATCATGTAGTTCAACTATATGTGAATAAAAATATTGTTAAATACCTGTTTTTGTGTTATATTTTTAAATAGTTATTTTAATTTTTTTGTCAATTTATTCACCTGTAGATCTATATCATCAACAAAATTACACCATTTATAATAGATTGTTTTTCTTTCGGGGAATTAGGGTCATTGTCAACATTCCTTTATATGATACTTCTTTTTGGTCACGGACAACAATATTTTGTGTATTTTTCGTAAAGACATTGGTCAATCTCTGCTATTTTGGAGCAGACGGCATTTTCCAGCAGACAGTTAATTCGTTCGCGGAATATCTATCTATCTCTGGATACTGCCAACCCCTCTTACGAGTGTTAAAGGCAGGAATTTAGTGCACGTCGGATTGTTAGTAAAAGGTGAAGAGAAAAGCTAAAAAGAAAAGTCCAAACATTGACATGCTTGGAAGGTGAGACTGAAAATGTATTCTAGTCATGGTTAAAATGTTAATAGTGAAACAAGATGATAAGAGATAAAATAGTTTAAAAACACTGGGAGTAAGACTAGTACTGCAAACCCACCACTGCCTGTTTGAACTGACTCAGGTTGGGCAGGGTGGCAATGTTACTAGGAAGTTTATTCCATAGTATAATGCTATGAGGGAAGAAAGAGTACTTATGGTAGTCGGAGGATACCTGTATTTGACGTAGGGATAAGGGATGCATATGTCTGGTTAATCTATGTGGGGTTTGAACATAAGTTGGGAGATTAATTGCAACTAGGTTATGGTATATCTTATAAAACATTATCAGTCTACAGTCCAGTCTGCGATGTTCAAGGGATCGCCAGCCCAGTTCTTCCTGCATGGCTGTGACACTAGAGTGAGGGGAGTAATCCCTTTTAACCCATCTTATTGCACCTCTCTGGATCATCTCAACTTTGTCAATATTGGTTTTAGTATAAGGAGACCAAATAGATGAGGCATATTCAACCTGTGGGCGGACCAGGGACTTGTATGCTAGTTCTTTTACTTTCTCATTTTTAGTGATGACATTTCTTTTAATAAAGCCAAGGGATCTGTTTGCATTGGAAGTTATTCGAGATATATGTGTATTAAATTTAAGGTCAGCAGATAGATCTAGTCCGAGATATTTAGCATTTGTAACAGACTCTAGGATTTGGCCATGGAGCATATATTTGTGTTTAATTATGGTCTTATTTTTGGTGATATGGATGACTTGGCATTTTGAAGGGTTAAACTCCATGTCCCACTGCTTCTCCCACAGAACCATATTGTCTAGATCATGTTGGAGAGTTGGGGGGTCTGAGGAGGAATTGATGGTTAGGTATACAGCAGTGTCGTCTGCAAATAATCTGACTTGGGATTTGAGGACAGAAGATGGTAACTTGTTGATATATAGAAGGAAACAGAGGGGCCCTAGGACCGAGCCTTGGGGCACTCCAGAGGTAACTGGGACTTCAGATGAGCAGTCACTATCCACAACTACTGTCTGTCTACGGCCAATAAGGAATGACTGTACCCAGTTTAGAATTTGAGGACAAACACCATGTTCTTGCAGGGTGACGACAACAAAATAAATAATTTTGTCTGGGCGCTTTCAATATAAACAGTATCGTATAAATGCAAGCGTTTATTAACTAGTTGAAATTGGCTAAATGCCGGACCACGGACCCGGTAAATTTCATTTCTCATTAAAATTATAGTGGAGCCCACGGTAAACATTCCGTACCTTTTTATACTGAATTGACGGTTTATAGTCTGTATATCTGACTCGTATTGAAATAAGCGACGGTGAAATTCCTGCGTCACAAAATACGCACTAACTAAATTTCATTGCGTCATGGCCGAAAATAATGCGCCAAAAACGCGCTCTGGCAGAAACACTGTTCATACTATTTCACGTTAAAAGTACATCAAGCTCGCTTTGAGGCTTTGCCTTTTTCATATTAAAGGAACCATAATAGAAAGGGGGAACCAGAATGAACGGAAGCAGTGTATAAAATACCGAATGACAATTTTAAAACGGAAAATGTAAAATAAAAATGAATTATTATTTTAAGCTATCTTACGGTAAAAGAAAATCGAGCTCGCTTTGAGGCTTTGACTTTTTCATATTAAGTGTTTCAATTTAAAGCAAATTTAAATAATAAAAAATGGGGCCGGGTTGGCCAGAAATAAAAAACATTAGTTTAGGGGCGGGTTGACCAATTTGTGAACGGGTTGACTTGGGGCCGGGTTGACTTGTACCGATGGGAGATGCCAGCCCAGAGTTTTAAAGGATAAATTTATTTGTCTTTTAGGGTTAAAAAAAATTTAACTTACACATAGAACTTTGACAATTTTAGATTTAAAATGTCTGTCAGGTGCTGTCACACAAGAAAATATCCATGGTTTGAACTGTCGTTTTCTAAACAAACCTGCCATAGCACAAAAAATGTATCTAACATTAATTTTTTTTAAAAGTTGGCAATCAAACTGGAAATCACGATTTAGAAATAAAACGGTAACCGGCGTAGAGATTTTAAGATTTCTTTTCAATCGTTAGGGTACGTTACGATACCGAAATCAACTTGATTTCGGTAAAGTTACCGAAATCAACTTTTCATTACCGAAATCAACTCGTAAAAACCAAACTAGTTAAAATATTGCTATTATTTCTTCATTATTTGATGAAAAATAGTGAAATAGACTTTCAGTTAAAAAATCTATTGAAAATATTTTATTTTAATGATGTTATTAACAAAAATGTAATTATTGAGTTACTTCCCTTTGTTCTAAACAACCCGTTATGTGTTTAGCATTACCGAAATCAACTCGTAAAAACCAACTTAGTTAAAATATTGCTATTATTTCTTCATTATTTGATGAAAAATAGTGAAATAGACTTTCAGTTAAAAAATCTATTGAAAATATTTTATTTTAATGATGTTATTAACAAAAATGTAATTATTGAGTTACTTCCCTTTGTTCTAAACAACCCGTTATGTGTTTAGCATTACCGAAATCAACTCGTAAAAACCAACTTAGTTAAAATATTGCTATTATTTCTTCATTATTTGATGAAAAATAGTGAAATAGACTTTCAGTTAAAAAATCTATTGAAAACATTTTATTTTAATGATGTTATTACCAAAAATGTAATTATTCAGTTACTAGCCTTTGTTCTAAACAACCCGTTATGTGTTTAGCATTACCGAAATCAGCGGTGAAGTTTAAATTATGTATATAATAGTAGATAGTAGATTAGATAACTCTAGTAGAGCTCTATTTTATAGACATATTTCTGTTTTTAAGTTTCAACCATATCTAAATATTATCAATGTTGAACGGTTTTGTAAAGATCTCACTAGGTTAAGAGTATCATCTCATAGATTGCACATAGACTCAGGTAGATGGACTAAACCAAATAGTACACCTTTAAATGATAGAAAATGTTTTTCATGTAATGTCTTAGAAGACTAATACCATTTCATATCAGAATGCAATGTATATAATGATTTAAGAAAAGGTCTGATACCGCCATATTAGCATGTTATATATCTGCACGTGATTGTCGTGCATAACAATTTTCTAAATAAAATCGTATTTTTAAAAAGCTATGATCGGACTATGATGGAAAAATAAAATACTCTGTAATATGAGTTAAAGATAATTATAAATTTTGTACATGTTTATGTTTTATGAAGAAAAATATCCAACTTCAACCGGAAGTTTATGATTTTCTATTATAAATTTGAATACAGATATATAATTCGACTGCTCTAAAAATGTTCCATAAAAATTGTATAATGTATCAGGCAGTAAAATTGGAAATTGGAAAGTTTGTGTCTTTCTTTTATTGAACAGTTTAACTATATATTAACAAATCACTAACATATGTTATGGGGACTCTTTATTATAATATTTATATATTTTTGTCATTTATTTAAATCACAGATCTACATACACTATTCAACTCCGTGTTTAAATGTTTAATACGAAATAAACAGATGGTTCATTATAATCTTTTATCTTTAACATACAATATATGTCAACTGTACCTCCTGTCTTAATTACTTCACACCTTACTTAATACAGTAATACAATACAATACAATACAATAATAGTTTATTCAAAATTAAACATTTTACAATGTTTTTAGCATACAGAGTATAATATACAAAGAGAACATGGTTTACACAGCATGTCATATCGTACAAGTTGCAACATTTCATAATTGAAATTTGTCAGTATAAAGTGTTCCATTTTTTTCATCATATAAATATATACCAGTCATTCCATAAATTTATGCTGTTTACAGATATGAAATTTAAAATGATTTTAAATCGATCAACATAAAATCATTACTTAACACTTTTTCAATAAGTAGAATATGTAGTTAAGTATCCGGGACATCAAAAAATTGCATACATTTTTGGAACAACTGATATGCAATTTGGTAATAATAATATCAAAGCACCTTGTCTCATATACCGAAATGTTTTTTACGGAAACGTTTAGCGACCACCCCTACAAATTAGTTAAAACCGGTCTTTTGACAATTTATTTAATATAAAATTATATTTTTACCAGCTTACTAGATCTGAAATATGTATAATATAGAACTATAAAAAAAGTCTTTTGATATATATTATATAGGGATGGTCGCTATACGTCATTTTATATTAAACTGTAATGTATTTTTGTCTTAATGGAGACAAGCAGCTTTAATTTCATGTAAAATAATTATTTTGGATACTTTAAAGTTTGCATGCGCCGATGGATATTAAAGGATTGCGGTTAACGAGTATGTTAATTATGTCAACTAACACCTCCATTGTCCGAGCACGTGTATGCTTGCTCCTTATTAGTAAAGGTGTTATGATGAATGGCTACCGCTACGTCTTTTTATTTTAATCAAACCATAATCATTGGATTTAAATTAAATACTGTGATAATTTCCAATCAACTATTTTAATAGTGATCTAAATTAGGCGGATAACTTCAAACACAGTTTTGTTTAATCTTGTATTTTGAAATCATTAAGAAACATCAAAGAGATGATACGCTGCTATGTTATCTGACTAAACATTGAAAATAAGCGATATGAATTCAAAGTTTAAAACTCACTCAAATACCTTTTTTCATAGACTTCTGAAATTCATGCAAATATTTTAGGGGTTGTTCTCATCTTTGAAATGAAATCTGATTTGATTTCGGTAATGCAACACATTAATAACAAGGGAAGTAATCATGATATATAATATACATATCCGTCTATAACATCATCATTTTTTATAATTAAATATTATTTTCCTATGTTTATGGTTCAGTTTGAATGATTATATATTAATTAATTAAACAAGATCTTTGAAAATGTTTATTTTAACTTTTACAAGCCGATTTCGGTATGGTAACATATATTTCGGTTCGTGACAAATCAGGGAAGTAATCTTGATATATATAGGTATTTGTTTCTAATTTCATAATTATTAATTATTCCGAACTGATTTTTTGCATGAATGTCAAACTAAACCTATTGTAATAGATTATAATGAAAAAAATGTAATAGAACGCTTAATTGTGGTTTTACAAGTCGATTTCGGTATTGTAACATATATTTCGGTTCGTGACAAATCAGGGAATAATCTTGATATTTAGTTATTTGTTTCTAATATCATTATTAATGATTATTTCGAACTGATTTTTTGCATGAAAGTCAAACTTAACCTATTGTAATATATTATAATGAAAAAAATATAATAAAACGCTTAATTGTGATTTTATAAGTTGATTTCGGTAATGAAAAGTTGATTTCGGTAACTTTACCGAAATCAAGTTGATTTCGGTATCGTAACGTACCGCAATCGTTACACTACAATCGCTAGTCATAATTTTTTATTTTAAGTGTTTTTCTGCAAGAAAAAAACTTATTTGCAATTTTATTATCATCCAAAAATTATCATTTGTATATTTTTATTTTTCTCTGGGTATTTGAGGTTTTCTGTGTACAATTCACGTGACGTCATGGAAATGTGTGGTGTTTAATTTTGTACACAGAAAAGAAAAGTTGACAAAATAAATAGAAATTTGGCCCAGTTAGGGGCTTAACAGCTTTACCATGTCTAAAAGTTCGAAGTCATCTCTTCGGAGTGACTCTGGAATAATTGAAATTAAGAGCAAGGTAAATGAAACTGTTGTATATTTCGCTCAGGTGTCGCAGGTGTGGCCTCACAGTTTGGGACATTTTTGTTGATATAATTTTGTGATTTATGACTCATCATAGCCTTGATACCAAGGTTCAGTAAAGGCTATATGTTAGTTAATCAAATCATGACAATAAAAATAATTTGTCAACCTTTGAAATGCAAAAGATCTATAGAAATTCTCTGCAGCTAGTCTTTTTATGTTTACTTTTCATGCATGAGTGATTGCAAAGGTGCAAAATTTTCCAGGTAGATTTCTCTTCTGCTGCTTATTTGATATGAATTGGTTAAGTCAGATGTCTCAAAACTTACATGAAAGTAAGCCTTAAAACGGGGCAGTCGAATAGAACAAATCTGTTTGTTATGGTTTTTTTATTTACTTTTTTCATTTTTAATTGGTTATAAAAAAATTTGGTATTTCATGACTGCTTCCGTTTTTAATCAGAACACCTCAACATTCACTTTTTAGTGGAAAAGTTATGATTGTTGAAACCTTGCATATAGTCTATAGATAAACCTGTAATTGTTTTTTATTTCTTTTCATTTTGAATATACTCATGTAGTCTATAGCATGAAAGTTAAGCAATTTCATTTTAAATTTATGTATATTTTGAATGTTACATTTGAAAGAAGCCTGGTCAGAGGGTTCAACCTTGTTTTCTGGAGAGTCTAGAGAAAATTTTGATTAATGGCAGACAAGTCATTGATTCCATCTTAATGTCAGGTATTCCTGTATGTAAGAATAGCAGAATGCAAAATATGAAATGAATAGCTGCAGCCACAATGACTGTGAACATACTTAATATGAGTTAAGACAAGTAAGCAACAAGTAATATTTGCAAACAAACACAACATTCATCCAACCCTCTAAAAATGTGTGTCGTAAATTAATGTCTATGAATGTAAATGAAAAATATGGTGTTGCATATTTTAAGAGTAGATTCTTTAGCATAAATATATTATAACTCTGAGAAGAGACAACACTGGGCTTAAGTAAATGGAAGTTTGTGAGTCATTTACTCCTTGATTAGGTTTGTGACTTCCAGAATGAAATGCTTTTCCTTGCCTCTATAATGTGACTACCAATGTCAGAGATTTTGCAGCCTATGACTTCCCAATTTTTAAACTTAATGCCCTGACAGCATTAAAAATGATTTTTTTTTTCCATTTCAGTTTGATGCTGAGTTTCGAAGGTTTTCAGTTGATCGCAATAGTCAACTAAAGTTTGAGCCATTTAGAGACAGTGTTGAGAAATTACATTTTCTATCAGAGATACCATTTACAATAACCTACACAGATGCTCATGGTGATCTCCTGCCAATAAACAATGATGATAATTTCAACTTAGCACTTTCTACAGCTAAACCAGTACTGAGGATATTAGTTCAAAAGAAAGGTAATCTATTCTTATGTTACTTCATTTATAAAAACACACATACATAGGATGTTCGGACATATATGTCTTACATGTAGTCTTAACCTTTAAACCCTGTCAATGTATTACATACTTTGTAAATTTAGAACATGTTGTAAAGCACAGACTAATCAATCAGAAATAATGATTTTAGTTATTCAGAAAGTAGTTTCTGTTATGAAGTATTAGAAGTGTGACTGTAAAAAAGATTTCCACTCTGTATCATTTCTGACATGAAATAAACATCAAAGGGTGAAAAAAATGTGCAGCCTGACCTGGACTCAGACCCAGGACCCTCAGAATACAGTTACTGTTCAACAGCTCTACTGAGCTCACAAACCAGTCACTTCTCCCCTAAAAACTTAAAAAGTGGACAGTTCTAAACAGTGACATACTCCCCAATATGGCATTTTGTCCTTTTAATAATAGGGTTGCAGAGCAATGTGAATTAAACTCTGAAGAATATGCAGTCATGGCCCAAATGTCACAGGGTAAGAAAAGTGTGGTGCCTGACTCTGAAGTGAACCCAGGACCAAGGTCAAGGTCACACATAGGGGTCAAAGTTCACATAAAAAATCTCTAGAGATTATAATATATCCAGATATTTTTCTGGATATTGCCCAGAGAATATTTCCTATATGCATATCTATAATGCCCACATCTCTGTCAAAAGCTTCTGTGATGGGCTATATTGTGACAATGTGGCCTGTTTGTAATGAAAAAGTTACAATGCTTTTTTACAATGCTTTTGGGAATAGATAAGACTAAAAAAGATTTGTATATTGATGGTTTTAAATTGATAATTTGAATTTTATTCAATGTTTCTTATTTGTCAGTTTGCTAAATCCGGAACATATAAAATTATGATACTTTTGGTCCAGTTAAGGACTTTGACTTTGAATGAACTGCTTCAAATTTGAACTTGAGCACACAAATTTAGCATTTTCATAGTTAATAGATAAATATAAATATGACAAAATTTGCAAGTATAAGTAAACAAAGCTGTAGCAGCTGATGTCATTGTTACTGAAAATGCAAAATCAAGATAGAATTATTCAAGCTATGTTGATGTTTTTTTCTGTGTAATATTAATGTAACTTCTGATTGACTTTGTCTGTCAATGAATCAATTTTGTCTGTAGATAAAGAATAATAGGGCTACTTACTGATAGAATTCTCTATTTTACAGTTATTAATGAATTACAAAATTTGATTGCTGCAGATGTTCACTACCTTTTATATATCAAATGTGTCTAATCCCTCATTAGTGTGCATATATTATATTACAGTGGAGCCTTGCTAATCCGAACCCTTCTAATCCGGAATCCTTTCTTATCCGAACGAAGTGTCCGGTCCCGATTTTATTTGTTCTATTTTCAATACTAAAAAACCTTTCGGATCCGGAACCTGTCTACTCCGAATTCCGGACGATTTTTTCAATTTTTGTTCTTATTTTACTCTAAAATTTACCTCTCTGATCCGAACAGATTTTGCCAAATGTCACACCTTCATTCAAAATAACAAATAATCGCACATCAGGGCTCGACATTAACGGTTGTCCGACTGCCCAGGACAACTAAAAGTTTGGTCCGGGCAAGTTATTTTGAAAAGCACTTGTCCGACAGGGCAAGTGAAAATAAAAAGCATCATTGACAAAATGCATGTACAAAATGAATAGAAATAACATCTTTTCATTTATAAACATCTTTAAAACAAAAATACACCTTGAATTATTATCAATAATGTGAATATACTACGGTCATGTACATTTGTTGATATAGGAAACGGAAGCAAAAATATGAGCATGCGCCGCGGTAAGGTAATACTCTGTTCTAATAATAGACTATATCTAATTTTGTACAAGGTAATTCCCGGGTTATGCTGTTGTTTAAATTTTGATGTTTGCATGTAAAGATATCATTGAAAATATGTAGATAATCATATTGATCTTTAAATATAATTGTTAAATAAAGTTTTTGCATTAAAAATGATTTATTGTTTAATCTAATATAACAACGATTTCGAGACATTTCGGCCCCAAGACGTATCGGCCCCAAACTACCCAAGACGTTTCGGCCCTGGACGTTTCGGCCCTTTACCAAATCGGCCCCAGAATAAGTACTGTATTTTAAACCGATATATTAATGGCATTTCAATAAATAAATGAATCAATTAATATATATATTTAATCATTTTGTATAAAAACTAGATTATAATAGTAGTAGGGGGAAAGTAATCAATACAAACAGAACAGAACATAAACTTTATTTGAAAAAATATAATACACAAACAAACAATTATTTACACCATATATAGATAATATTTTATTTGAATGGTTAAGAAGCGAGACACAAAACAATACACGAACCAGACATTAAATTATCATCAACAACTATTTAACAGTGACGAGTTTGATGGATACGAAAATACAAGTACAGAACAGTTAAACAACTTTACTTGAAAAAAAATGTGAACAGACACTTTTTATAAATAACATTTTTACAAGTTTACAATTTTTCAAATCTTTTGAAGTTTTCTCTGATATTACTTACCGCCAATTAGCATAAAGCTATATAAACAGGTAATTAGTTACACATTGAAAAAATTACGTATAGTTTAATTAAGATCAAAAGATAATGTTTTCTAAGGAATAATTGTAAGTAACTTTCTAATCTTAATCCAGAAGTTTTAGTGGTTTGTTTTATAAATTAAGTAACCTGCCTTTATTGTTTGTTACACCTTTAAAAACATTAACGTACATCTAAATGGTTCAAGAGATCAAAAGATAATAAATAATTATTTAAAGAATTAAAGTGTCATAATTGTTTAATTGTAATTGAAATAATTGTTGTTAATCAATCAAGCAATATACTATAGTGGGGCCGAAACGTCTCGCGGAAAATGGCCGAAACGTCCAGGGGCCGATTTTTCGACCGGGGCCGATTTGGTTTGGGGCCGAAACGTCCTGTTTGCATAACAACATTATGAACTTAGTAAACGAAGACTCGTTTACGGCTGTTGACTTGATGATTGAACAGAGAATTACCTTACCGCGGCGCATGCTCATATTTTTCCTTCCGTTTCCTATATCAACAAATGTACATGACCTTAGTATATTCACATTGAATAAACAGATGAACCGATGTTTTAGAAAAACTACTAAATACAAAAAATATTTATGAGCTTGTTTGTTTTTCTGATTTATACATTTTTACCATTTTTAGGTCAGGACAAGTAAGTCTTAGGTCACGGGCAAGTAGTTTTAAAAACTACTTGCCCGACAGGACAACCTGATTCAAAAGTTAATGTCTAGGCCTGCACATCTTGCAGGTGTAAACATACACCAAACTGATAAGTGTTATTTCGCTCGATTAATGGGTGAAACGTATGATCTGCGAAGGTGTGAAAATTACACTTAGCTTGTCTTGATATCTTCTATAATTGCTTAATTGGTTGTTTTTCGTCAGCTTCTATAAATATTTTGATATGATGCAATAGAAATATCTTTTAGTCCTTTATATTGGATTCAATGATACGTGATAAAGTAATGAAAATTAATGGAAACTGCCAGTGAATTCGGATAGTCGCTGACTCGGATAAGAGTAAACAACAGTTGACAAATGCTGGTACGAATATCTAATCATGTCTCGGCCTCCTGTTTAACATCGTAGGTCCTTGAGGACATAATATTTTTGCTTATTTATTTATTTTTATTTCTTTATTTTTGTATTCACATGTATTAAAATGAACGATAAGAGACTGCACAAATAAAATATCTAAATTGCAATTTCAAATGCATTCCCGTTTTCTTTCCTTCAACTATTTTGCAAATGACATGAAAAAACATGTAAAAAAAACTTCTAATTCGGAAACCTTTCTAATCCGGAAACCTTTCTCATCCGAACTTTTCTTCTGGTCCGGACAAGTTCGGATTAGACAGGTTCCACTGTATATACATAATCAAAGCTGTAGTAATCTGTATTTATGTGAATGTCTGTCTGTACATGAGGACATGCGATCAATTTAACATTAAAGCTACATTAAAGCCCTCCAGATGAGCCAAAATATTTCTTGAAAATCTAAATTGAGAAAAATGTACAAAGATTTTAAGAAAAGTGAAAAGATTCCAGTAATAATTTTCATGTTTAAAATGAGTTTAATTACAGATTTTGGTATTTGTTTTAGAGATTGATAGTGCTATTTGCAATGTGTAAATTATTTTCTGCGTTTACTTGACAGTATTTTGCTTTTCTATACATTTTTAAAAAATTCATGAAATCTGGAGGCATGATGCTTTCATGACAGGTACATTGTATTCGAGGCTTATTTAAAAAAATTTAGGTACTGGCTTGTCCTTTGTTGAAGTTATCATGGCTTTTATTACACTCCTGGCTTTATTATAGAGCAAATTACGTTCTATATTGATTCATAATTCCAACGTTTCAAATTTTAATGAGATACTTTTAATGCATTCGTTAACAAGGTGTTCAATAACGTTAAATTTTTTTGCCAAATTAGTTCTTTCACTTTGACAAAAATACAAACCTTGACTGCTGATTTAATTTTATGCCATCAAATTATCTGTAAATTAAAATAAAAAAAAATTCAAATTATATATTTTAAGTATCAAACAATTATTGAATAAAATTGAATACTGAAATAATTCACAAAAACATGTCTCTGCATATAGAAATATTTCTTTTGTATGTTATAAACATATGTTGAATGTATACAGTTGTGTTTTAAGTTGCTGCTATCTTATATGAAGCAATTAAATAGCAATAAAAGTGATACAGTGAGAGTGGTGTTGTGTCTGGTAACACAGATACCAGCTCTAATTAACTGATTAACTTTCTCTTATTGATACAGACCTCACTACTATACCATACTGTAGTATCTGGAGAACCTTTTTCAGCAGCAAGACTGTTTAATTGATTTAACCCTATTACTGTTTTATAACATTGTGTGATGCATTATGTATTGTACTGCTTTGAATTTCAAACTGTTAATGAGTTTTTAATTGGTTTCAATATCAAAATGATACATTAAGGCATGCAGCAGTATAGAGTTTTTATAGGCTGTATGCATATCTGGCTCTGATCTGGCATAGGTATAGACAAATCATTAAAGCTGGAAGTATTTAGGGAATTTAGACAAATACCTTGAATTGTTATCTCTGTCATAATATGTAGACGTTTTAATCAGTTGTAATAATTATAATCTTGTCAAAATAAAAACAGTCTTAACTTCCTTATACTATCAAAACAATTCAGATCAGTAGACTAAAGATACATGTATATGGTTTCTGTATCATTTAAAAGTATTATATCATATATACATGTATTTAGATGTTGCCTGTATTTACATAAATGTATGATCATTCGTTGGATTTGCATCTATTCTACACAAGTGGATATCTATGGGTCTATTCCATGTAAAATGTCTTCATGAAAAAACAAAACTGTTTCTATATGTATATAATATGTTTTTATCTCCATTTTTTTTTGTATCTATGTAGGGTAAAGAAAATAGAAATAAAGTCTTTTGCACATTAAAATTTTATCTATAATTGGGTCAAGAAAGACTCCATCATCTTAGTTGGTTTGACCTTGCATAGAAATGTTCTAGGGACATTACTATTATTGTCACATAGAAAATAATAAATGAGTTAGATCTTACTTATACTGAGAAAGAAAATAATTTAATTGTTGGTGGGTTTTTTTTCCATCTATACAATCATACATTGTAAATTTCTATTAAAGAAAAAGTTTGGTCATTGAATAATTCACAGAAATAAAAATACAATTAACATTAACAAATATTCTCTCAAGAAAAATGTTCCTTGTTAAACCTGTACAATAGAATGAATAGATATATACAACTATACATAATTAAATATTCAATAGATGTATTATAAAGTGACTATGAAAGGTGAGGGATAAAGTAGATTCTTGCATGATGCAGGTTAACATTCTTTAAATAGTTGTGGCTTCAAGGATTTGTTGTTATCTGTACAGACATGATAACACAAGATGATGTACGAATAACCTGTCATTAATTTACTGTGCAAGTGGTTAAAAATTAGACAGGTTGTACACACACTAGTGGAAACAGTGACATATTTAATACCGGCCTGGTATTTTCACCACATGGTTGGTGTTTTTTTTTTCCAGATCTTTAAACAATTGTATTATTTGGCAGTTGTGTTATTTGGCAGGGGTACTGGGGTTTTGAATATGGATGGCCTGATTGTCTTGAAAATTAAGGCTAGTTTTATTAAGGTACCAGTTTTTTTTGCAAGCGAGCAGCATCCATGCTTCCCACTTAATATATCACATATATAGTGATAATCTTATCATGTGCTTATTAACATACATGTAGCATTACCTATAAACATCGCACATTGAACTAAATATTATTCTCTTTGGTCATTGACTTAAAGTTTGATAAATACAAGTACATGTTGCAGCTGTCAATACTTAAAAGTAAAATATGTCACTGAAAGGAAGTAATTTTTGTCAAGCCCGCTTGCAGAGAGCTTGGCATAGTTATCACAATGGTTGTTGGGTGTATGTATGTGCATCCGTCCAGATTATGTTTGTCCAGGTCTTAGTACGCCTCTCAAAATATTTATGTTTTATGATATTGTTATTATCAATTTTAGACCATGAGTTTGATGCTTATCATGTAAAAAGAATAATGCTAAATTTGAAATAATTAATCATAAAAGAAGCAAAATGTAAACAGACAACCATATTATTTAGACTTCCATTCAAAATGTAAAATCACTTTACTAATTGCCTGTTCAGAGATACATGTTGGCCAAAGTGAAAGAGTATCATTTTGGAAACTGTCACAGTATGTTGAAAAGAAAAGGCTTTTGAAAAAATAATTTTAAAAATGCATTTTTTGGGCGTAATGGGCCTTTAATTTGTACTTTATATGGGATCGAGCTCTGTGCGGGATGTTCTGGTTTAATTTGATTTTAATGTATATTTGTGTTCTAATTTTTCAGGTGAGAATTATGCTGAGCTGAATGGATATGGCACTGTACAAAAGAAGAAGAAATTGTTAACAAAGATCAAAAGCACCGACACTACAAACTTCGGAAGGAGTCGTATTCCTATTGGCTTGCCTGAAGATTTCCGCCGAGTTTCTGCAATTATCGACGTTGATATTGTACCTGAAACACATCGTAGAGTGAAGTTGATGAAAAATGGTTCTGATAAACCTTTAGGCTTTTATATACGTGATGGTACTAGTGTTAGAGTAACACCACAAGGTTTAGAAAAAGTCCCAGGAATTTTTATTTCGAGACTTGTACCAGGTGGTTTGGCTGAAAGTACTGGACTTCTTGCCGTTAATGACGAAGTTTTAGAAGTGAATGGAATAGAGGTTTGTGGTAAAACTCTTGATCAAGTGACAGACATGATGGTTGCAAATAGTTCAAACTTGATCATTACCGTAAAACCTGTTAATCAAAGGTTAACATTAGCTCCACAGAGAGGTGGGGTTGGGAGGTATTCACAGATATCACAAGCTTCACATATGTCATCAGCTTCAGGTCATTCTAGACAGTCTTCCAAATCTTACGATAGTGACCTAATTGCTGAACAGGATGAGGAAGATGAAGTGCAAGATTATTTAAATAAAAGTTCTAAAAGTGAACAAAGTGACAAGTCAGATAAAAGCCGAATTAGTGAAAAATCCGAAAAACTGCGTAATATTGAAAAAGAAAAACTCAACAGGAGTGACAGAAGTAATCACAGTGGGAGGAGTAATGATAGTGGGCAGGATAATGGGAGTGGCCGACAAAATAATGGGAGTGGCAGACAGAAAAATGGGAGTGGACGTTTTGAAAAAGGTGTTGCAAAACAAAATAATGGTAGCGGAAGACAAAAACACGAAGGAGGGGGCACAAATGGGGAGGGGGAGAACCCCATTGTCACATTATAGTAAAAGTAAATTTAAACCAACTAAACCTTTGTGCCCCCGCAAGGAAAGCACTGTATAGCAATTGTATAGTAATATTTTTTTATTGGCTTGAATATTAACATGTAAAATATTATCGTTTTTTAAAATTCATATGAAACAGACATAGAATCACTTTGTTTAACTCTACTTATTTTTTTTATTTTAAACTAAGATATATCATAAATAATCTCATACTGTGTGTTTTTATTAACATGATGAAAAAAAAATCAATTTGAATGGTATAGATTTTACGACATATTTCATTTAATATACATTTTGTGAACAGTGGCATGTGAAAATGTGAAAAGTTTAGAGGGACAGGGGGCAGCAAAAATATTGTAGATACACCTTCACCTATTACATAAAGTCCTATATTTGATACACGAAAATGATTTGCTGTTATTCAAACCATATCAGTAGATTATATTGCACATTGACTCAGCCAGCATTATTTGTAAAACAATAATTCACTAATATTATTGTTGCTTAAGACTTTTTGCTTTCCTCACCAGCATATGGAACATTTTTCCAACAACATATGGACCATTTCCTCACCAACATTAGGACCATTTCATCACAAATTTATGAAACGTTTCACCACCAATATATGGACCAATCCATTATAATTACAATTTATTATTTGCATATCACTAAACTTAAGTCATTCCTTACAATTGCAGCTCTATCTTATAAATATCACACAAGAATATTTCTCAATTAGAATTTGGAGTTTTCCAGGAGATTAAATCCACTTCATTATTGCTTTTGTCTAAGTTATGTAATGAAGGCAATTGATAGAAAAAATAAGAATAGTAACCAAGTGGTTCTCAAAATATTTCAGTAAAATATACATGGTGATACATAATAAGAATTTAAATAGGTTTATTTTTCTTTTACTATAATTTGTTTTACTGATTTTATTACACTTACGATTAGGTTACTTTTTGTAACTGATTTTGTGATTTATTGTCTGGCTTAGTCATATTTTGACTGGCTTAGTCACTGAAGAAGCAAGTCATTTTGTGACTACCTTAGTGATTTTTACTTAGTAACTTATTGACTTAACAAAATCTGTCATTAGGTCAAGTAATTATGTAAACATTTGAAGTAATAAAAAAAATGAATAAACTAACATTAATACCATTCTGTTTATATGTGTACATTGTATATAAGTCATTTATTGTGTACAGAATTTTCGTTTATATTTACATGTAATGAGAAACTTTATAGAACAACAAAACTAGGGAGTATTATGTTATTATGTACATTGTACTACGGTAATTATGAGCCGTGTCACGACAAAACCAACATAATGGGTTTGCGACCAGCATGGATCCAGACCAGCCTGCGCATCCGCGCAGTCTGATCAGGATCCATACTATTCGCTTACCAACCCTATTACAAGTAGAGAAACTGAAAGTGAACAGCATGGATGCGGATGCGCAGGCTGGTCTGGATCCATGCTGGTCACAAACACACTATGTTGGTTTTGTCGTGACGGGGCTCATACTGTATGTAGATTGTGATATCTCTTGCCAAGTGCTTTATAAATTTTTTTAGATTTTTTAAATTATTAAACAAAAATATTCTTTTAAACAACAAAAGAATGGAAAACTTGTAGACAAGAAAAATTGTCAATGTTGACAATATTAGTTCAGTTCTGTAGCAAAATATTTTGTTAACTGCTGTTTTGATTTTCTTAACCTCAATTTTATTTTGATGAACAAAAATACATGTGTATTGATACATTACTTTTGTATAAACATTTCCTTGAATTGTTTATAGTAGAATGAAAGATATAAATGTATATAATAACTATATTTCATTGTTAACTTAACTAGCAATATTGAAATAGTGTCTTCCATAGTTAGCAATTAAAATAATTATAGAGTTTAATAGACTAGCTATACATAACATGTGTGTAACTGACGAATAAAAGCCAATTTATTTTTGTATCTCTTTTTCAACTGATTTATATCTGGAAAAATCTGGACACAGGTGTACGAGCTCTGTCATGTTTTAATCTTCAAATCATCTCATATGATTATAGGATGATATATTTTTTAAAACCATAAGTAGCTTTAGTATCATATTAAATACCATTTTTTCACAGCATAAAATAACAAGTTTGACACAGTGATATAAAAAGGTCATTTATTTATTATCTTGATTAAACCCATTTAAAGGATTACTGATTTCTCAGTTAGAACTTAATTCAGATAATTCTAAATGATTTTAAACCAAGTAGGAAAGTTCTTAAGATTTTAAGTAAAAAAAAATGTTCTTCGAAAATAAAACAAATTAATTATAAGCCTGTGTAAACAAAAACTTGAGATATTTATAGATTTTTGTGTGTTACTTAACACCCATAATGCTATTTAAAAAAATCCTGAAGCTTTCGCTTTACAGTCATGTCAAGCTTAAAGTTAACATGTTTTAAACTCTTAATTGTTCACAATAAAACCTTTAATTGAACATGTCAAAGCATATTTGATCTTGTTGGAAATGATTATTTAACTACAGAATATTTTAAACTATAAAGATATGTCTCGTAAGTTAAACCAGACAAAATGGTGTATTTCTATTATTTCATTTTGTCCTGTTTATACTTGAAAAAAAATTGAGAAAGTTCGTAAGTTGGAAAGGTTGTATGTTTAATTTTTTAAAGATTTCATTCATTAACAAGTTATCATTATGAATTATCATTACAAGTTTTGTCATGGTAACCACACAAGTTTTGTCATGGTAACCACAGAATGTCAGACGTTTCACTCCCAAGACGTTTCACTATTGAGACGTTTCACTCCCAAGACGGTTCACACCTAGACGGTTCACTCCCATTTTGTCAATTGTAAGGACGTTTCACTCCCAATTTTAGAGATGTTTACTAGGAAAGTTAACAAATTTTGATTTCATTAATATCAAACAGTGTAAAAAGGAAGTTCAATTTAATGTTTCATTTTGTTGATTTCAATGGAATTGTTTATATGAATCATTTGAAGATTACTCATTTAATTATGGTTTGAGTGATAAGAGGTGTAAATGAAAGACAACTTCCTGAAATATCACTTTTATTATTAGTGTAACAACATGAGAAAATTCTATTTATAGTAAATAAAAAAAAAGAATAACATAGAAAGAACAACAAAGACATATTTATTATTATAAGAATCAGTTTAAATATTGAAATCACTACCAGTAAAGTTGTTAATATTATTCAAATAATAAAAATATCAATATATTAAATATTTTGACTATATAATGATTATTTTTGTAAGTCTTAAACAATGAAATGCGAAACATTGTGTATAAAATAATTATTTTTTTAAATCATTTTCTTCATCGATTTCTTAAACAGTAGCCATTAAACAAACTTAAGTAATTGTTGTGTTATCTCATCGCCTAATTAGTTGTATAAACACCGAGACAATCAACTAACAGTTTGACACCACTATTTAATCAGATCAATAGACGCTGCACTTAAGCATCAACATTCTGCTAATCAATTGTTTATTGGACCATTAAACTATTTTTTGACAACAGCCAATTTAAACACAGAAACTTCTCCATAAGTTTGTTTATATAATAATGAATTTTAGTCACAAAAAATGATTATACATGACAAATATTGAAAAAAGTCCCATTGCATTTAATTTAATTTAAAGATATGTCTGATTTCAATGGCCATTAAAAATGTTGACACAAAAGCACTATACTAGCATTAAATAATTTTAACAATTTTTTTATCCCATGTTTAAAATTAACAACAACAAACATGGTACTCAAAGTTAATTGTTGTCACAATTCTGAATTGTTATGCTTTAAATCAAAATTGCCTATTGAGTCCATGTTTACAAAAGAACAAATAGTTAGTTATATTAAAGTGTTATTAGCTCGACTATTCGAAGAATATGAGAGCTATTCTAGTCGCCCCGGCGTCGGCGTCGGCGTCAGCGTCCGCGTCGGCGTCTGCGTTGGTTAAAGTTTTTTGTAAAGTCAAATATCTCAATTACTGCTTGAGATATTCAATTGAAACTTACAATACTTATTTATAGTAACAATGTACATCAGATTGACAAGTTGGATAACTCTGCCTACAATATTGACAGAATTATGCCCCTTTTTAACTTAGAAATTTTGGTTAAAGTTTTTTTGTAAAGTCAAATATCTCAGTTATTGCTTGAGATATTCAATTGAAACTTACAATACTTATTTATAGTAACAAGGTACATCAGATTGACAAGTTGGATAACTCTGCCTACAATATTGACAGAATTATGCCCCTTTTTAACTTAGAAATTTTGGTTAAAGTTTTTTGTAAAGTCAAATATCTCAATTATTGCTTGAGATATTCAATTGAAACTTACAATACTTATTTATAGTAACAAGGTACATCAGATTGACAAGTTGGATAACTCTGCCTACAATATTGACAGAATTATACCCCTTTGGAACTTAGAAATTTTGGTTAAAGTTTTTTTTGTAAAGTCAAATATCTCAATTATTGCTTGAGATATTCAATTGAAATTTAAAATACTCTTTTATAGTAACAATGTATATCAGTTTGCAAAATTGCATAACTCTGCCTGCAATATTTGCAGAATTATTTGCCCCTTTGAAACTTAGAAATTTTGGTTAAAGGTCTTCAAAGATATTTACTTGAAATTTTACACATGCACTTAGGGTCATAATTGGAGGGTCATAATTGTATGTCACTGACCAAGTTCCATAACTCTATCTTGCATTAAAGCTGATTCATATCCCCTTTTCTACTTAGTCTCTTGGTTAATGTTAACATGATAGTTTTACATATCTCAATAACTATTAAAGATATTTATTTAAAACTTCACATATGCATTTAGGATCATAATTGTAGGTCACTGACAATGATCCATAATTCTATCTTGCATTTAGGCTGATTTTTCTCCCCTTTTTCAACTTAAAAATTCATGGTAAAGTTTTGCTTGTAAGCTGTTATCTCAATAACTACTGAAGGGTTTGTACCTTTTTTGGGACAATTTTATGCATTCATAATAATAAAGCAGTGATTAACTTGATAAGACATCTTAATAACAAGCATTTGTACCTTTTCTGTCAAATTTATGTATTCATAGGTAATTAGTATTATTTTACTCAATTAAACACCCTTGTGACATTACCTTCCGAATAGTCAAGTCAATACTGTATAATTAGACTCTCTCTAAGGCCTATAACATGAATTTATGAAAAAAATTAGCTCTTTCGTGAACTTAAAAAATTTAACATTATAAAGGCTCTTTTACTATCAAGCACTTAGAATAGTCGAGCGTGCTGTCCTACCGACAGCTCTTGTTTTAATAAAAAAATATCTTTTCTTTAAGTGAAATAATGTGAAAATTACACATATGGATCAAAGAATAGAAAAACACCTTATTTCAAAACAAAAATAAAGAAGATAAGATAACTGAAATGATAGAACTTAAAGTACTGGGGTTTAAGTCATTGACTCAAAAGTGAAATCCCCCCTTTTAATTTATTTTTATTAAATTCAAGGTCTATTTTAGTTCAATTCAATTCAATATTTAAGGTCTATTTTAGTATATCATAAATTCATAAGTATCAAAATAATTTTGGTATAAAAAGGGAGTGAAACGTCTTGAAGACGTTTCACTCCCATTTGGGAGTGAAACGTCTTGGTGTGAACCGTCTTGGTGTGAACCGTCTCAATAGTGAAACGTCTGTCTACCGTAACCACATGTTTGACCAGTTAGCACGCAATTTGTTATACCATTCCAGAGTTTTAAAATACATTCTATTTTACCAAATATATTTACACACATACACACACACACATACTTATATTTGTATTTTTTAATTGTACATTTTTTTGAGTGAGATAGTTATTTTTTTCTTATATTGTAATATACTAGTCTTTATCAGATGTGAAAGTGTGCATGAATTATTTTATGTAATTATAAAAAAAAGAAAGTATTTTACATTTTTTTTATTGTAGGTTGTTGATCAACATTATAACC